CTTGGTCCTCGTTTGGTGGGATCTTCTGTCACGTTCGTTTAATGACGGGTCAGACCAAGGCGCAGCGTGATATGCGTACATGTTTATTTAAGCTAATAAACACACAACAAACAAAACGAAACGTGAAGTCCAACGGTTACACACAAAACAAACCTTACACGGAACAAGATCCCACAACTACACAGTGCCAATGGGCTGCCTAAGTATGATCCCCAATCAGAGACAACGAGCGACAGCTGCCTCTGATTGGGAACCACACCGGCCAACATAGATCTATACATACTAGAACCACAACATAGAAATACACAACATAGAACATACACACCCTGACTCAACATATACGAGTCCCCTGAGTCAGGGCGTGACACCCACAAGTAATTACATGTAGGAGAGAGAGTATACACTACACTCTCTCATCTCCTCTCCTCTCCTTCCTTCTCACTGTCTGTCTCTTTCTCTTTTTCCTTTCATCTCTCTTTCCTTTCCTTTCATCTCTCTTCCCTTTCCTCTCATCTCTCTTTCCTTTCCTCTCATCTCTCTCTCTCTCTGTCTTCCTCTCCTCTTCCCTCCGACTCTCCTCTCTATAAATGTCTAGTTTGTCAGTTCGACTTTTCACTGAGACAAACCAGAGTGAACCCAGTGTGCATGCTGCTGGCTCACACACATAGCATACCAGTGCCTGTTAGTCATTACCCAGCCACAATAGAGAGGCCTGGGTCTGGACAGGTTTATGTGGTGCCTAGCTAACCTTCTGATCGAGGCTTCAGTTCTTTGCTGTGGTGGCAGCCTTTCTGATCTAACATTCTCTATCATTCCCATTTGAGATCTGAGAGGGATCAACGCACAGTTGCAAACGACTCCACCCCATAGTTTCACCATTTTTCAACCCCATGTTGGAGCCCCAGGGCCAAACTCAAACCATATTTAGCCGTTGTAAAGAGGACATTCTGGTTCTTGGTGGAGTGTTTGTTGAAGCCGATCAAATCAGTTCTAAAATAAAGCATTTTCATATACTCATTATTTGTATGTACAGTACCCAGTGAAAGTCTACACACTCCCTGAACAGTCTTCACATTTCGGTGCCTTAAAATAAAAAAATAAAAAAATATTAAATAGGATTGTTTTTTTCCTACCGATTTACAAAACGTACTCAACATTTTACAAAGTGAAATAACATTTTTAGAACATTTTCCAAATTAATATAGTTTTTTTACAAAACTAAGATGTCTTGATTGCATATGTCTTCACACCACAGAGTTACTACTTGGTGAAAGCACCTTTGGCAGCCATTACAGCTGTAAATCAAAGATTCTACCAACTTTGCACAACTCTTGGGCAACATATCCATTGTTTATGTCAAAATTGCTCAAGCTCAGTACATTTGGTAAGGAATCATTGATGGACAGCAATATTCAAACCTTGTCTCTTGTTTTCAAACAGATTTAAGTCAGGACTGAGACCGGACCATTCTGGAACGCTCATCACCTATTGGAAAGCCATTCTAGTGTGTCTTTGGCATAAACATTTGTGTAATTGTTCCAATGAAAAGAAAACTATCCCAGGGTTAGATATTCAGAAGACTGAAGCATGGTTTCCTCTAACCTTTTATCTGGGCTTTACTCCTTTTTTATTTTAATTTTATTCTGACAAACTCCCCAGTCGCTGCCGGTGACAAGCATACCCATAACATGATGCTACGACCACAAAACGACCAAAATCGTTTCCGTTTTGTTTGTAGCTACTGCTTGTTTGGCCCGTTGTGTCAAGTCACTCCGGTTCACACTGACCGTGTTCAGAAAGTAGTCCACTGCAACTTTTCCCACTAATCCTTGTCGTCGGATGTGGCAGAGCTCGAAAACTATTACAGACTACAAAGGGAAGCACAGCTGTGAGCTGCCCAGTGACACAAGCCTACCAGACGAGCTAAATCACTTCTATGCTCGCTTCGAGGCAAGCAACACTGAAGCATGCATGAGAGCATCAGCTGTTCCGGATGACTATGTGATCACGCTCTCCGTAGCCGATGTGAGTAATACTTTTAAGCAGGTCAACATTCACAAGGCTCCAGGGCCAGACGGATTACAAGGACGTGTACTCCGAGCATGCGCTGACCAACTGGAAAGTGACTGTCTGTAATACCAACATGTTTCAAGCAGACCACCATAGTCCCTGTGCCCAAGAAACTAAGATAACCTGCCTAAATGACTACCGACCCGTAGCACTCACGTCTGTAGCCATGAAGTGCTTTGAAAGGCTGGTCATGGCTCACATCAACACCATTATCCCAGAAACCCTAGACCCACTCCAATTTGCATACCGCCCCAACATATCCACAGATGATGCAATCTCTATTGCACTCCACACTGCCCTTTCCCACCTGGACAAGAGGAACACCTACATGAGAATGCTATTAATTGACTACAGCTCAGCGTTCAACACCATTATGCCCTCAAAGCTCATCAATAAGCTAAGGACCCTGGGACTAAACACCTCCCTGTGCAACTGGATCCTGGACTTACGGAAGGGCCACCCCCAGGTGGTAAGGGTAGGTAACAACACATCTGCTACGCTGATCCTCAACACGGGGGCCCCTCAGGGGTGCGTGCTCAGTCCCCTCCCGTACTCCCTGTTTACCCATGACTGCATGGCCAGCCACGACTCCAACACCCTCATTAAGTTTGCCGACGACACAACAGTGGTAGGCCTGATCACCGTCAACGATGAGACAGCCTATAGGGAGGTCGTCAGAGACCTGGCCGTGTGGTGCCAGGATAACAACCTCTCCCTCAACGTGATCAAGACAAAGGAGATGATTGTGGACTACAGGAAAAAAAGAGGACTGAGCATGCCCCCATTCTCATCGACGGGGCTGTAGTGGAACAGGTTTAGAGCTTCAAGTTCCTTGGTGTCCACATCACCAACAAACTATCATGGTCCAAACACACCAAGACAGTCGTGAAGAGGGCACGACAAAGCCTATTCCCCCTCAGGAGACTGAAAATACTTGGCATGGGTCCTCAGATCCTCAAAAGGTTATACAGCTGCACCATCGAGAGCATCCTGACTGGTTGCATCACCGCCTGGTATGGCAACTGCTCGGCCTCCGACCGCAAGGCACTACAGAGGGTAGTGCTTACGGCCCAGTACATCACTGGGGCCAAGCTTCCTGCCATCCAGGACCTCTATACCAGGCGGTGTCAGAGGAAGGCCCTAAAAATTGTCAAAGACTCCAGCCACCCTAGTCATAGACTGTTCTCTCTGCTACCGCACGGCAAGCGGTACCGGAGCGCCAAGTCTAGGTCCAAAAGGCTTCTTATCAGCTTCTACCCTCAAGCCATAAGACTCCTGAACAGCTCTTCATGTATACCCAGACTATTTGCATTGCCCCCCCACCCCACCCCACCCAACCCCCTCTTTTATGCTGCTGCTACTCTGTTTATTATTTATGCATAGTCACTTTAACTCTACCCACATGTACATATTACCTCAATTACCTCGACTAACCGGTGCCCCAGCACATTGACTCTGTACTGGTACCACCTGTATATAGCCTCCCTACTGTTATTTTATTTTACTGCTGCTCTTTATTTATTATAATTATTTTATTTTTTACTTATCTATTATTTTTTGAATTTTTTTTTACTTAGCACTTTTTATTTTCTTAAAAACTGCATTGTTGGTTAAGGGCTTGTAAGTAAGCATTTCACTGTAATGTCTACACCTGTTGTATTCGGCACATGTGGCATATAACATTTGATTTGATTTGATTGATACACCATCCAAAGTGTAATTAATAACTTCACCATGCTCAAAGGGATTTCAATGTCTGCTTTTTGTTTTGTTTTACCCATCTACCAATAGGTGCCCGTCTTTGCGAGGCATTGAAAAACCTCCCTGGTCTTTGTGGTTGAATCTGTATTTGAAATTCACTGCTCGACTGAGTGACCTTACAGATAATTGTATGTGTGGGGTACAGAGATGAGGTAGTCATTCAAGAATCATGTTAAACACTATTAATGCACACAGAGTAAGTCCCTGCAACTTATTATGTGACTTAAGCACATTTCTACTCCTGAACTTATTTAGGCTTGCCATAACAAAGGGGTTGAATACTTATTGACAAGACATTTCAGCTTTTCATTTGTAATTAATTTATAAACATTTCTAAAAACATGATTCCACTTTCACATGATGCCATATTGTGTGTAGGCCAGTGACACACAATCAATTTTAAGTTCAGGCTGTAACATGACAAAATGTGGAAAAAGTCAAGGGGTGTGAATACTTTCTGAAGGCACTGTATGTTGCCCTGAGAGTTGGTAGAATCTTATTCAAAATTATTCATAGCTGTAATGGCTGCCAAAGTTGCTTTAACCAAGTATTAACTCTGGGGTGTGACGACATATGCAATCAAGACATGTTTGTTTTTTATCCTAAATGAATTTGGAAAATGTGCTATAATTTTGCTTTCACTTTGAAAATGTGGAGTAGGTAGTGAAGATAGGTAGGAAAATAAGACTGTGCAAGCGGCGTGTAGACTTTCACTAGCGGCTGTAGACTTTCACTAGCGGCTGTAGACTTTCACTAGCGGCTGTAGACCTTCACTAGCGGCTGTAGACTTTCACTAGCGGCTGTAGACTTTCACTAGCGGCTGTAGACTTTCACTAGCGGCTGTAGACTTTCACTAGCGGCTGTAGACTTTCACTAGCGGCTGTAGACTTTCACTAGCGGCTGTAGACTTTCACTAGCGGCTGTAGACTTTCACTAGCGGCTGTAGACTTTCACTAGCGGCTGTACACATTGGGATGAAGTCTCATTCCGTTAGCTTGGAGCAATTACAAAATAAGTTGGCTATAACCAAGACAGGCAGTCACCTAGACTATACTCCACAGTTTGAATAAAGGCTTGGAAAGGCAATACTTAACCGTCATGGTCAAAGCAAGTTTTAGCAATTTCTCTGTGGATGATTTCTAACGTTCTCTCCTCTCTTTCCTCCAGGGGATGAGTGTTCTCAGGATGAGAGCGGAGCGGCGGCCATCTTTGCCACCCAGCTGGATGACTTCCTGGGCGGAGGGCCGGTCCAGTTCAGAGAGGTCCAGAACAACGAGTCCATCACCTTCTTGGGCTACTTCAAGTCTGGCATCAAGTACAAGGTCAGCTTCTTCTGCTAAAAGCTGAAAGATGTGGAGTGGGAAGTGATTAGTTTTTTCTTCCAATTTAGGGTCCACTAATGACACTTTGAATGAGAGCAGTGGGTTAGTTCAGGGTTTCCCAAACTCGGTCCTGGGGCACCCCCTGGGTGCACGTTTAGGTTTTTAACACTACACAGCTGATTCAAATAACCAACTCATCATCAAGCTGTGATTATTTAAATCAGCTGTGTAGTTCTAGGTGGGGGGGCAGAACCGAGTTTGGGAAACACTGGGTTAGTTGATGGTAAGGAAGTGGTTTATTGTGCATTAGAAAGGTAAGGGTTAGGGCAAGAGGGGTTGGTCGTAGCAACCTGCAACACAGCTCTGTTACAATCGCTCCTGTTTGGGGCAATGCGTTAGGCAATAGGAAGGAATACTCTATCAGTATAAGGTCAGAAGTGTTAAGTCGTCATTATTATTGATCCAAAAATAAGATTGAATATAACAGGTGGATAGAAAAACTGGATACGGTTTGGACTTCACTGGGATGTCACTAATGATTAAAGCACTGGTTTAATCATTAGCGACATCCCATGAACTTTGACATGAAGTGAATGAGTCTGAAGTTCATAGACATTAACATATATTCCCCTTAGCCTCTGTCATGTTTACATCCAAAGGCGTGACAGCCACTGTAGTCACTGCAACCAGCATGTCAACGGCAGCCAGTTTGAAATCCCTATAAATACAACAACCGTGGGGTTTGAGAGTTTTTCCCGTTGTTGTTCCTCGCACCGTCTGTTTTATGTTTCCAGAAAAGCCTCAGACCTTGGTTTAGATGACAGTAATTAACCCAGTTCTGTTTACCATTTTGAAATGTTTGGTGTGTGGAAACTCTTCCTTTTACTTTAGAGTTACACACGGTGTCTTTGAGAGAGAAAAATAGAGAGAGAGAGGGAGAGAGTGAAAGAAAGAGATGTGGGTTATGAGGGAGAGGTAAGAGGTGAAAAGGGTAAGATGGGAGAGAGACTTTTGTCATACTTTAATGAGAAATCCTCATTACACTAAAACACCACATTTACCCCCCCCCCACCCCACCCCAAAACACACACGCCGATAAAAAAGCATCTGGATAGTGAGAAAAAGAGAGAGGGGGAGAGAGAGAGAGAGAGAGAGGGTAAGAGGGAGAAAGAGTGAGGGGAGAGAAAAGAGGTAGAGGGGAACAGAGGACCAAAGCTAGGGCTCCTTATCTGAAGCCTTTGTTACCCTGCAGACATAAAACATTCTTTCCATGAAAATAAACACGGCTACTTCTCTGCCACGGAAAGTTCTCCGTCTTTCTCAGGACAACTCTCTTCCTCAGAGTAGATCTGTTTATCATTTGGGGAATTTGAATAACCACATAACATGGGAACACACTTTGTATGCACTTGAGAGGAAAAGCAAAACCAAGAATTGCTAATGTGGGAAACCCTTTTGTCCCCAAACCAATGGACAATTGTTTGAGTTAAATTGTAGTTTGGACAGTGATATCTATGGTTTGCAAACGGAAATCTAGTTTCGTATTCAGATCGGGCAATGTTGCCGCTATCACCATTTTGGATTTTTTATCATGATTAAATATTTTCCTCTAACCTCCATATGCATGTTTTTGTGTGGCGGTTTACCAGGAAGGCTCAGATGACAGCACATTAAGGTAGAAATCTGTAGTGTAGAACAGACATTATTCTCTGTCTTGTCGAATAGGGAATCATGCAAGTTCTATGTAATACATTTTAAGCTGCAAGGTTTCAAACATTGCGCACCACCGAACAAGCCTCTGAGCTCATCTTTAATCTTTGACCTCATTTGACCCCTCCCATCACAGCAAGGGGGCGTGGCTTCAGGCTTCCAGCACGTTGTGACCAATGACATGAGCGTGAAGCGCCTGTTGCACATCAAGGGGAGGCGGACCATCCGAGCCACGGAGGTGGCCCTGTCCTGGGCCAGCTTCAACCAGGGAGACTGCTTCATCGTGGACCTGGGCAAGGTAGAACTTTACACTACAGTACAGCCTAGGTGAAATATAGATCTGGCCTGTGTATATGTAGGCTACAGTATTGGAAAACTGTAAACTGGAATCTGGGCTACGAGCTAAGTAACATGAAAACGTATAGGTGCAGTATCTCACATCTTTTAATCATGCATTGACGCCAATGGAATATTTGCATAAAATGTCAAGCTATGCATCTCAAGTTAGGATTTGGCACTAAAAGCTTGAAGGGCTTTTGGCTACGTAACATGAAAAGTAAAAATTATATACACCAGAAATCACCCAGCTGGAATGGAATATCAATACACGTATAGAGCCCTTAGTCACCAAACGGATAGTACACATATTTAGCCCTTAGTCACCAAACTGACATTAATATCTGTAAGTAAGTGTTACCACTGGAAACCTAAACCCTTTATTTATTTATTTGTATTTCTCCATCTCTTCTTCAGGATATCTACCAGTGGTGTGGCAGTGAGAGTAACCGCTTTGAGCGTCTGAAGGCCTCCCAGGTGGCCATTGACATCAGGGACAATGAAAGGAACGGCAGGGCCAAGCTCCAGATGGTGGAGGACGGGGCTGAGCCACAGGAACTCACTGAGGTGAGGGATAGGGACACACACACACACACACGGTTGGTGCCGTTTAAAGAGAACAATAAAAATGTTATGAGCATTTAGGGCCTTATATCTATTACAGCATATTAGATGACTGTCTTTCATATTCCATTCACCCAGTTCAATGTAACATCGATAGGTTTAGGCTACTACATGATACTGTGGTCTCCCGAGTGGCGCAGTGGTCTAAGGCACTGCATCGCAGTGCTAGCTGTGCCACTAGAGATCCTGGTTCGAATCCAGGCTCTGCTGTAGCCGGCCGCAACCGGGAGACCTATGGGGCGGCGCACAATTGGTCCAGGGTAGGGGAGGGAATGGCCGGCAGGGAGGTAGCTCAGTTGGTAGAGCATGGCGTTTGCAACGCCAGGGTTGTGGGTTCGATTCCCATGGGGTATGAAAATTAAAAAGAATAATGTAAATGTAAGTCGCTCTGGATAAGAGCGTCTGCTAAATGACGTAAATGTAATGTAAATGTAATACTGGAATTTGTCCTATACCCATTATGAGGTTGCTACAGCCTACAAATTAAAGTTTATAGCTTAGGTACACAGGTCGAGAGACATATTGGAGTAATCAAGGTTACAGACAGTGACACATTCAATACCGCCTTGCACACTTTTGCCTGCATCTAGCTGATCTGAGGTGAAATCAGTAGTCCAAAATGTTCCATTTTGCATCTAAAAAAAGAGTTTCTAGCATTCGTCTCGTTTTGAGTCAGGTTAACCACAAAATCTAACCTTAACCCTAAACCTAACCCTACCTCCTAACCCCAGAGGCGGGACCAATCACTATTATTCAAGTCACAAGCAAGTCTCAAGTCACAAGGTCCGAGTCACAAGTTTAGTCCCAAGTAGAACGAGTCAAGTCGTGCATTCTAAGAGCAAGTCAAGTCGAGTCACAAGTTTTCAAGTCAAGTCTCAAGACAAGTAAAAATAAAGTCTATACATGCAACGACTTGTTAAACTACAAATGTGTCTATTTGAGGCTACCAGACAGCCTGTTTCATTCTTTTGTCTACAACACATTTTGATTAGCCTATGTAATTGTAAAATAGGGACCTTGTAGCAGTCGCATGAAATCAGCAGAAGGCAAGGTAGGCTGAGGTGCTCAGAGTGTAGATTTATTTACAGGTCTTTGTGCTCCAATGGTGAAAGCGCCATATCACACAAAATATACAAGTAGATTTACCAAATATACATGGGCAATAGCCCTAAAGAAATAGCCTCTGTATCATGCTTAACCTGTCCTATCTTAACGGACACAGGTAGAGGGCAAGACTGTACAGCCTCCCCTTGAGAAAACAAATGTAATCTGTCTAACAGGCGCTCAAACAGGTAGGCCTACATAATATAAGCACTTGGCCCCCAGGACCATTTGGCAATTACAACCAATAAACTGGTTCTACAATGTAAAAGGCAATTTACACATCCATTGTTACATTGGTAAGTTACATGGATGAGATTTCAACACCATGCATACATGGAACAATCATTTTATCTTATTCAACGTTCTGACTCCAAAGCGCTCTACACGTATGCTCCTATTACGCAGAACAAAAATGACAGACGTTGGACACAGACACACGGAACTCCGACATAACCCAGGAAGTATGAAGAAAGGAAACCATACATTGAATTAAATAAACAGAACCTCTTCCTCATGAGTTTTGCGACTGTCCATCTGCTCTATAAACATCACGCCCACTCAGAGCAGGATAAGAAATGGTTGGCTAAATGAAAATGTGTCGTAGGCCTATCAAACATGAAACAGAAATGTCTACGTGTTGCAAAAAAACGGTACGGGATGGAATGATGAAACACTATTAATTATTTTAGTATGAAATGGAATATAGATTTACCACATAGGGCCTGTGCATTTAAACGTGTGATAACAACAGCAAACATTTCAACAAGAGAAAAAAAAGCACCCTCCACTGGCAGGAGTTCGGAGAGCGTGAGTGAAGAGTCTTGGCCATAGTAATAATACATTTTAACAACAAATGAATGCAAGCTTCATAAGTAAATGATCAATTTCAAGCAATTGTTACATACCAAAAGACCAGTAGGCATATGCTAGTAATTGATGCCCCATTGCTGGTGAGCTTGCAAAGTAAACCGTTTTGGAGCTGCATATTTATTTATTATGCCAATCCTCTCTCGCGACAATTTGATGTTTGCGCGGCAACCGATCCTATAGCCGTACAGCAAATCAGCAATCTGTTCGCCAGCTCACCCGACCTGTGTTGATTGACAGTTTGCTGGTGCAATCAGAGTGCCAAGTGTGCGTTTCACTAGCCAATCTGTTCCAATTTGCATGTTTTTTTTTTATTACAAGGGCGATTCTGCGGCTACTGTCTCTGGCTGCGTGGAGACTCTATGCCACAAAATGAATGACAAAACATTACAAAACCTGGCCAGATAATTGTAAGTCATCAATCTCAATTCAAAATCAAGTCCCAAGTCTTGATGCTCCAAGTCCAAATCAAGTCTCAAGTTATTTTATTTTCTATCAATTCGAGTCTCAAGTCATCAAATTTGTGACTCAATTCAGACTCAAGTCCAAGTCATGTAACTCGAGTCCACAACTCTGCCAAACCCTAAACCTAATTCTAACACTAATTCTAACCTTAACCCTAAACCCCAACCCTAAACCCCCTAGAAATAGCATTTTTTATTTTATTTTTTATTTTATTTCACCTTTATTTAACCAGGTAAGCCAGTTGAGAATAAGTTCTCATTTACAACTGCGACCTGGCCAAGATAAAGCAAAGCAGTGCGATAAAAACAACAACAACACAGAGTTACATATGGAATAAACAAAAACAAAACATACAGTCAATAACACAATAGAAAATCTATATACAGTGTGTGCAAATGTAGTAAGTTATGGAGGTAAGGCAATAAATAGGCCATAGTGCAAAATAATTACAATTTAGTATTAACACTGGAGTGATAGATATGCAGAAGATGATTTGCAAATAGAGATACTGGGGTGCAAATGAGCAAAATAAATAACAATGTAAATAACAATATGGGGATGAGGTAGTTGGGTGGGCTAATTACAGATGGGCTGTGTACAGGTGCAGTGATCGGTAAGCTGCTCTGACAACTGATGCTTAAAGTTAATGAGGGAGATAAGTGTCTCCAGCTTCAGAGATTTTTGTAGTTCGTTCCAGTCATTTGCAGCAGAGAACTGGAAGGAATGGCGGCCAAAGGAGATGTTGGCTTTGGGGATGACCAGTGAGATATACCTGCTGGAGTGCATACTACGGGTGGGTGTTGCTATGGTGACCAATGAGCTAAGATAAGGCGGGGATTTGCCTAGAAGTGATTTATAGATGACCTGGAGCCAGTGGGTTTGGCGACAAATATGTAGTGAGGGCCAGCCAACGAGAGCGTACAGGTCACAATGGTGGGTAGTATATAGGGCTTTGGTAACAAAACAGATGGCACTGTGATAGACTACATCCAATTTGCTGAGTTGAGTGTTGGAAGCTATTTTGTAAATGACATCGCCGAAGTCAAGGATCGGTAGGATAGTCAGTTTTACGAGGGCATGTTTAGCAGCATGAGTGAAGGAGGCTTTGTTGCGAAACAGGAAGCCGATTCTAGATTTAACTTTGGATTGGAGATGCTTAATGTGAGTCTGGAAGGAGAGTTTACGGTCTAACCAGACACCTAGGTATTTGTAGTTGTCCACATATTCTAAGTCAGACCCGTCGAGAGAGGCGGGCGGGTGCAAGCAGCGTTCGATTGAAGAGCATGCATTTAGTTTGACCTTGTGGGGACAGTTGCTCCCCAGTTGGTCAAATTTGTGTTTGTTTACTATTCTTGTGGGGACTTCTGGTCACCAGAAGTATAGTTAAACAAGTCCACACACACACACACACACACACACATACACACACACACACACACCCAAGCAAATCACTCATACTTACACACCTACTGTATCCAAATAACATTCAAATATTCCATCATTGGAAGTGACGATGATACCATATCATAAAATGGTGCTATACATTGCTGAGGAGTTTCCTGGACATTGAAATACCCCTTACCGTGGGAATATACTGTATATGGGCACAAAAGCTTTGTGCTATGTGTCATTTCTGTGCCAGCTCTGTGCCATAGCCTTTTGCAAAACTAGGCCAAGATTGTGGCAATGGCTCTAAACAGTGTAATGAGAAAGAAAGAGGGAGAGACTGGCCTTGCTCTGTCTCTGTATGAAGCTAATCCTCCATTTTGGATCTGTCCTAGGCTCTGGGGCCCAAACCCAGTATCCCCCCTGGCACCCCTGATGATGACAAGGTGGACACCTCCAACAGGAAGAAGGGTGCCCTCTACATGGTAACGGATGTTACTGCACCTTTGTTGTTCAGTATCAGCGTCATGATTTGTAATTGTTGTTCCTATTTCATTGTTCTCTTCTCTTGATAATGGTGTTGTCCAGCTCAGTGCTCGCACATTGTTGATCTCTCAAGTTCCTTCACATGCATTGTGAATCTATGACGTTATGTATTCATTTTATTTAGCATATTATTTAAGGATCCATTTAAGAAAAAACAATTATTTTTCAAGGGAGTACTGTCAATATATGTACAGTATAAATGTATGTATTTATTGGTATCTAATCTCTGTGTATTTTGTAGATCTCCGATGCCTCTGGCTCTATGAAGTCGTCGGAGGTGGCCTTGTCCAGCCCCTTCAAACAGGCCATGCTGACCGCCGAGGAGTGCTACATCCTGGACAACGGAGTGGACAAGAACGTCTTTGTATGGAAAGGTAGACTAGTCCTCTCCACTGTTTTTTAAACGTTGGCCAGGATATCAAATGTTATCTATGCAACACATTTCTTAAATATAATGCAGTTCAAAGTGATTCATATATAAAAAACTAAAAAACTATTTTCTACTTCTACTGTGTAGGCTAGTGCAAGATTCAGAATGAGAAGTCAAGGAAATGTTCCCTAAATTGCTGTGTACAGCTGTGAGTTTTTAGAGTTTTGTTGAGTTGTGCTGATGATTAATCAACTCTATCTTACCTCCATCACAGGACCCAAGGCCAACGCAGCCGAGCGAAAAGCAGCCATGTCAGCAGCCCAGCAGTTCATCAAAGAGAAGGGCTACTCCAATAAGACACAGGTACACTGATGGAATAACGTGAAGTTGAAAACATTTCGACCGTTGCTCAGGCACTACTCAGGCACTACTCAGGCACTACTCAGGTCTTGCTCAGGCACTACTAGGCAATGTTTAAAATGTTGTTAGCTATGTCCACTTAAAAAAAAAAAAAGTCACTTAAAATGTTGAACAATAATTAATTGAAAACAAATATTGGTAGTGAACTAGTCTCACATAACCATACTTCTAAGTTTAGATTATCAATCAGCTATTGGAATGCATGTGAGAGGAAATCGAGGTTCGTGGTAAACAAGAGAACTGACTCTTACTTTTTCTTTGGCCGTGCAGATCCAGGTACTGCCAGCAGGAGGCGAGACCACTCTGTTCAAGCAGTTCTTCAGTGACTGGAAGGACAAGGACCAGACCACGGGCCCCAGTAAGGCCTACAGCATCGGCCGCATCGCCAAGGTGGAGCAGGTGCCCTTCGACGCCTCCACCCTCCACTCCAACAACAACATGGCTGCCCAGCACAACATGGTGGACGACGGCAAGGGCAAAGTCCAGGTAAAACACACAACACTGGACTACAATGGAAATAACTAAGTCAGGGTTCTCAAACTCATTTTGCGCAGGCTCTGTCTGTTTATCTTTACAAAGACAACCACGGGCCACACTAAATTGGCTAGGGGACCAGATGTAGCCCACTGCCCGTATGTTTCAGACCCCTGAACTAAGTCTTTGGACGTAACTTTTTTTTCCTCTTAAATTTGGTATTTATAAAAAAAAAAATATATATATATATACACATTTGGTAAAGTCCAGGGCCTGGTTTCCTGATAGCGATGGAATTTAGGCTTACGAGTGTTTTTAACTATGTATCGTTCCTACAACAGGCGGAGATGTTACATGTGTTTCCCAATAAATCACACAGAGAGAAATGTCGCTAAGTGTGTAGTTGAATCATACTGATAGGTTCGAAAGAAAGGCAGCGCTGCTCTCGGATCAGCTTTCTCCATTCAAATCTTACCTTAACATTAGATTTATTTCACAATACTGATGACGGATCAGTTCCTAGAGAGATATTACCACCTATTGCTGCAAATATTGAGGCGACTTCTCTAATTCTTATCCAATAAAAATGCACCATTACATTTACATTTTACATTTTCGTCATTTAGCAGACGCTCTTATCCAGAGCGACTTACAAATTGGTGCATTCACCCTATGATAGCCAGTGGGACAACCACTTTACAATATTATTTATTTTAATTTTTTTCTCTTTGGGGTGGGGTAAGGGGGGGTAGAAGGATTACTTTATCCTATCCCAGGAATTCCTTAAAGAGGTGGGGTTTCAAGTGTCTCCGGAAGGTGGTGAGTGACTCCGCTGTCCTGGCGTCGTGAGGGAGCTTGTTCCACCATTGGGGTGCCAGAGCAGCGAACAGTTTTGACTGGGCTGAGTGGGAACTGTGCTTCCGCAGAGGTAGGGGGGCCAGCAGGCCAGAGGTGGATGAACGCAATGCCCTCGTTTGGGTGTAGGGACTGATCAGAGCCTGAAGGTACGGTGGTGCCGTTCCCCTCACAGCTCCGTAGGCAAGCACCATGGTCTTGTAGCAGATGCGAGCTTCAACTGGAAGCCAGTGGAGTGTGCGGAGGAGCGGGGTGACGTGAGAGAACTTGGGAAGGTTGAACACCAGACGGGCTGTAGCGTTCTGGATAAGTTGTAGGGATTTAATGGCACAGGCAGGGAGCCCAGCCAACAGCGAGTTGCAGTAATCCAGACGGGAGATGACAAGTGCCTGGATTAGGACCTGTGCAGCTTCCTGTGTAAGGCAGGGTCGTACTCTGCGAATGTTGTAGAGCATGAACCTACAGGATCGGGTCACCGCCTTGATGTTAGCGGAGAATGACAGGGTGTTGTCCAGGGTCACGCCAAGGCTCTTTGCACTCTGGGAGGAGGACACAACGGAGTTGTCAACCGTGATGGCGAGATCATGGAACGGGCAGTCCTTCCCCGGGAGGAAGAGCAGCTCCGTCTTGCTGAGGTTCAGCTTGAGGTGGTGATCCGTCATCCACACTGATATGTCTGCCAGACATGCAGAGATGCGATTCGCCACCTGGTTATCAGAAGGGGGAAAGGAGAAGATTAATTGTGTGTCGTCTGCGTAGCAATGATAGGAGAGGCAATGTGAGGATATGACAGAGCCAAGTGACTTGGTGTGTAGCGAGAATAGGAGAGGGCCTAGAACTGAGCCCTGGGGGACACCAGTGGTGAGAGCACGTGGTGCGGAGACAGATTCTCGCCACGCCACCTGGTAGGAGCGACCTGTCAGGTAGGACGCAATCCAAGAGTGAGCCGCGCCGGAGATCCCAACTCAGAGAGGGTGGAGAGGAGGATCTGAAGGACGAGAGCAGAGGAGAGAGAGTTAGCTTTAGCAGTGCGGAGAGCCTCCGTGACACAGAGAAGAGCAGTCTCAGTTGAATGACCAGTCTTGAAACCTGACTGGTTTGGATCAAGAAGGTCATTCTGAGAGAGATAGCAAGAGAGTTGGCTAAAGACGGCACGCTCAATAGTTTTGGAGAGAAAAGAAAGAAGGGATACTGGTCTGTAGTTGTTGACATCGGAGGGATCGAGTGTAGGTTTTTTGAGAAGGGGTGCAACTCTCGCTCTCTTGAAGACGGAAGGGACATAGCCAGCGGTCAAGGATGAGTTGATGAGCGAGGTGAGGTAAGGGAGAAGATCTCCGGAAATGGTCTGGAGAAGAGAGGAGGGGATAGGGTCAAGTGGGCAGGTTGTTGGGCGGCCGGCCGTCACAAGTCGCAAGATTTCATCTGGAGAGAGAGGGGAGAAAGAAGTCAAAGCATAGGGTAGGGCAGTGTGAGCAGGACCAGCGGTGTCATTTGACTTAACAAACGAGGATCGGATGTCGTCAACCTTTTCAAAATGGTTGACGAAGTCATCCACAGAGAGGGGGGAGGGGGAGGAGGATTCAGCAGGGAGGAGAATGTGGCAAAGAGCTTCCTAGGGTTAGAGGCAGATGCTTGGAATTTAGAGTGGTAGAAAGTGGCTTTAGCAGCAGAAACAGAGGAAGAAAATGTAGAGAGGAGGGAGTGAAAAGATACCAGGTCCACAGGGAGTCTAGTTTTCCTCCATTTCCGCTCGGCTGCCCGGAGCCCTGTTCTGTGAGCTCGCAATGAGTCGTCAAGCCACGGAGCAGGAGGGGAGGACCGAGCCGGCCGGGAGGATAGGGGACATAGAGAGTCAAAGGATGCAGAAAGGGAGGAGAGGAGGGTTGAGGAGGCAGAATCAGGAGATTGGAGGGAGAAGGATTGAGCAGAGGGAAGAGATGATAGGATGGAAGAGGAGAGAGTAGCGGGAGAGAGCGAAGGTTGCGACGGCGCATTACCATCTGAGTAGGGGCAGAGTGAGTAGTGTTGGAGGAGAGCGAGAGAGAAAAGGATACAAAGTAGTGGTCGGAGACTTGGAGGGGAGTTGCAGTGAGATTAGTAGAAGAACAGCATCTAGTAAAGATGAGGTCAAGCGTATTGCCTGCCTTGTGAGTAGGGGGGGACGGTGAGAGGGTGAGGTCAAAAGAGGAGAGGAGTGGAAAGAAGGAGGCAGAGAGAAATTAGTCAAAGGTAGGGAGGTTAAAGTCACCCAGAACTGTGAGGGGTGAGCCATCCTCAGGAAAGGAACTTGTCAAGCTCATTGATGAACTCTCCAAGGGAACCTGGATGGCGATAAATGATAAGGATGTTAAGCTTGATTGGGCTAGTGACTGTGACAGCATGGAATTCAAATGAGGAGATAGACAGATGGGTCAGGGGAGAAAGAGAGAATGTCCACTTGGGAGAGATGAGGATTCCTGTGCCACCACCCCGCTGACCAGATGCTCTCGGGGTGTGCGAGAACACATGGTCAGACGAGGAGAGAGCAGTAGGAGTAGCAGTGTTTTCTGCCATGGCACATCATTGGTCAGACGAGGAGAGAGCAGTAGGAGTAGCAGTGTTTTCTGCCATGGCACATCATTGCGCACATTTTAGGCTACACATCATGAAATATATTGAGACAAATTACAGACAGTAGCCTAACGATGAACTTAGCCTTAAAGGTCCCATGCAGTCATTTTTTTCTCTCAATATCAAGTAATATCTTCGTAACAGTGAAGTACCTTACTGTGATTGTTTTCATTTAAAGTTGTCAAAAAGAAACTAAAATAGATTCTTAGCAAAGAGCAATTTCTCAAGCAAGAATTTAGCTTTCTGGGAGTGGTCTGAGTGGGGAGGGGAAAACTGAAAACTAGCTGTTATTGGCAGAGAGGTTTGGAACTCTCTTTCTTATAGGTCACCAGGCAGGCCAAAACTCCATCCCACAAAAACAGGCAGAAATTTCAAGCAATCTTTTGAAACAGCTATTACATTAAAAGGGCATTATCATAATTTTCACAATTTCACAGTATTACTGCAATCTCATAGTGTGGAAATATATATAAATCACAGGAAAATCACGTTTCTAACTGCACTGGGCCTTTAAGATGCTTTTGGGAAAACCGGCCCTGGTAAAAACAAGGTTTTGAAGCAAAGCGTCACTCAGGGTGCTGGGTACTTTTCAAACAAATCAAGGCAGCAATATACACGTGGAAAATGATATTGGTTTGGTTTCAGATCTGGCGTGTTGAGGATGGTGATAAAGTGGCTGTGGATCCCTCCTCCTACGGCCAGTTCTATGGAGGAGACTGTTACCTCATCCTCTACAGCTACAGGCCGGGAGGCAGGGAGCAGCACATCATCTACACCTGGTCAGTACATATGACATCATCCACAACTATGCTGTAAACAAGACATATTTATTTACACCTAGACAGTTCAAATGACATCATCTACACCTTATCATCTACATGTGCACCTGCCACCTGATCAGTGCAAATGACATCGAAACCCGGTGTGTGTACGTGATATAATTTACAACAAATCACACCAAGGGGGTATTTTACCTTACCCCGACCTGTTCTTGAATATTCTGATGTGTTCTCCTAGCCTTAGTTCATAAAGAAGGATGTATCTGAAATAATCATGGCAAAACTGACTCAATACTTGTAGTAGTACATATTCGATACCTGTAGAAAGGTCTCAATAAGGTGGGCTTGACGTATCTGTGTGTGTTTGTGTTTATTAATCTGTATCTGTGTGTGTTTGTGTTTATTAATCTGTATCTGTGTGTGTGTTTGTTTATTAATATGTATCTGTGTGTGTGTTTGTGTTTATTAATCTGTATCTGTGTGTGTTTGTGTTTATTAATCTGTATCTGTGTGTGTGTTTGTGTTTATTAATCTGTATCTGTGTGTGTGTCAGGCAGGGGCTGAAGTGCACCCAGGATGAGCTGGCAGCCTCTGCCTTCCTCACAGTGAAGCTGGATGACTCTATGGGAGGAGCCCCTGTTCAGGTGGGTCTCTATCCCCTCCAGCTCATCCCCGTGCCCCCAATACTCACAGTCCAAAAGCACCTGAGCAAAAGGTACGACGGTGGGAAATTCAGACTAAGCACTCTGAAGTTAATAGGCACTTTAGAATGGGTTTTCTTCTACATAATTATCATTGTGTCCATGTTGGTCCATTTCCCCCTCTAGGTGCGTGTGACCCAGGGCCAGGAGCCCCCCCACCTGATGAGCCTGTTCCAGGGTAAGCCCATGATGGTCCATAACGGAGGGACGTCCCGTAAAGGAGGACAGACAGGCACTGGCAGCACCCGCCTCTTCCACATTCGTCAATCCTCCACCCGCGCTACAAGAGCTGTAGAGGTGAGTTCTCAGTGTGTGTGTCAAAGTGAGTCCAGTGTATGTGACTGCTTGAGGAAGAGTAAGTGTCTGACAATTCTTCTGAGCACCTCTCTGTCTCCTCTCCCTCTCAGGTGGAGCCCTCTGCCTCCTTCCTGAACACCAACGATGTGTTCGTGCTCAAATCTCCCACCGCCATGTTTGTGTGGAGGGGGGTGGGCGCCAGCGAGGAGGAAATGGCCGCCGCCAAGCACGTGGTGGGTTTCCTGGGTGGCAGTGCCAGTAATGTGTCAGAGGGCAAGGAGCCAGGTAAGGATTTCATCTAGTGTTACATGTTTATTGTATTAAGTGGGCTGGATCTCAATAGTGCAACGTGGGGTGCATTTCAATAGTATTAAGTGGGGTGCATCTCAATAGTATGACGTGGGGTGCATTTCAATAGTATTAAGTGGGGTGCATCTCAATAGTCCAATGTGGCTTCCTCTTCTTGTCTTATCCTTCATCTACAGCCTGAAATCACAGGATAGGGGAAATCAACTTGGTGGTGGCTTCCTCTCATGCATTTGATTGCCTTTTTTTCAGATCTGTGTTGATGAAGGAAAGGTTACAAGGAGAGGAAACAACTTTAGACAATTGAAATGTGCCCCTAAATAAGACAATAAAGAGAACATCACACATCCTAATATATCACAACAAAACACTATATAGTTCCAAAGAACCAATGAGACAAATCTATGCTGGTCTTTTCTGTCCTAGCTGGGTTCTGGTCTGCCCTGGGAGGGAAGAAGGAGTACCAGACGTCCAAGAGTCTGCAGAACATGGTCAAACCTCCACGCCTGTTTGGCTGCTCCAACAAGACCGGATGCCTCAGCGTAAGTGATGGATTGTTGTTGAGTGTGTCTAACGTAACTAACTCTCTTGGATAGATAGATTAATACTCAATTCATCCCCAATGGGAAATTCAGTGTCACTCAGGAGGAGAGAAAAAGGCATAAGTAATACAAAGTACAATGCAAAAATGTGCCCCTGTTCCAAAGTGCTGTAACATATTGTAATCCTCCAATCATCAGGTGGAAGAGGTTCCTGGAGACTTCCAACAGACTGACCTAGCCACTGATGATGTCATGTTGTTGGACACCTGGGACCAGGTGAGTAAAGCTCCCCCATCCATATCATAACTCACAAGCGTGTTCATCTTCTGCTCTCAAAAAAACTATGCAGAGTGAATCTGAAAGTCTATAAGCTAACAGCATTTCTGGACTCCCGCCAGATCTTCCTCTGGATCGGCAATGACGCGAATGCAGAAGAGAGAACTGGAGCACCCAGAATAGGTACGAGAACACGCAGGGAAACAAACTTTCACAATGGCCCCTACCCAGGACCCAGACTGGGGCCACAACTGATTAAGGAGAACATTAGTTACCTTAGGGCTCTAACTGTATCTATATAATCAAATGAGGACCTTATATATATATATATATATTGGTTGTTTTCTCCCTCAGACTCTCACCACTGTATGCAGTTGAACCATTGGTTTCAGCTACGGTTTAAGCTCCACTTTCTGTGGCCTTCAGAAAAATATTTTCTGGTTCAAACCATATACGAGTGCCTTTTGTAACACAATATAACCGTACTCTGTTTGTGGTCTCTCAATATACAGGAATAATGTTCATGCTCGTTCTCTATCTCCCTCTCTAGCTAAGGACTATGTGGACTCAGACCCCTCTGGACGCAGAGGGCTGTCCATCACCACCATCAAACAGGGGGCTGAACCCCCAACCTTCACTGGCTGGTTCCAGGCGTGGGACCCCAAAATGTGGGAAACAGACCCTCTGAAGCTAATCCATGCCCGCTTCTAAATGCCAAACTCCACCCCACCCCCTTACCTATCTGGCACTTACCCATACGCATGCTATTCCCCCGCCCAACTCTTTGGATCAGAGTGCAGAGTGCCAGTAAAACACTCTGTACTGCTATTTTACTCTAGCTTTTTTTTTAATGCCATAATGTTGTCGCTTTTAGACTCATACGAAATATTTACCTAGCATGCCTTTTCTTTATCTGCTGTTGGAGCAAAGAAGAACCATATCTTTGGGAGCCTGTTTATTCCAGTGTCTATTGAATCCAACAGGTATTTTGTTATACTTGGTGAAGTCATGATATGTGATTACCAGTTAGTTAGGTCTCATTTGAAGCATGCTGCATTTTAACTGGATATCTCTGCAGGAGAAATATGTCTGCTCTTTTTTTACATTACTTTTGATGATTCTGAAATTGTATTATGAATGGCTTTTTCAATAAATTCCCTGTATTTCTAGAGAAACTCTGGAAATGAGAACACATTGGTAGCCTCCATTTGCTATGTTGACAGGTGGCCACATGGATAAGAATGACAGCATACCAAGGTATCACACTTTTAACATCAGCACAATCTCTTCCATGTAACATTTATCTTTCTTCTGAAGTTAGTCAAATAGTGGAAAAAACTGAGAACAGAAAGCCATAGTACTTCAACAATGGAAGACTCCCTCAAGAGGATGTTATCTTTTTACACACCACCTGGCTAGGCAGTTGTCTTCCTTCTTCCCGCCTTTAGATCTACAGTGTCAGTCAATGATGAATATAAACCCTGGATGGCTGATGCTATGTATTGTCCAATGAGAGGCTTTGAAGCCACCGGTCGGCCATATTGGTACTCCCCAGAAGGAGCAGTCCTCCATAAGAGTGAATGGAATTCTACAGTATTTCAATTACATTTTTCAAAAATAAAATAAAAAATCGGGGACAGTAACATTAGTACTTTCTAAAAATTATATTTTATGGAAAATATTTATTTTTATTTTTTTATGTTTAGCTCAAAATAATATAATTGAAAAGTATGCATTAAGATGTCTATAATAGAATAAATGTGGCAAAAACAAATTTAGACATCAATAAATGCATTTTTATAGCCTCCAAAATAATTTATATATATTTTTCCAACGATGGGGGAGTGCCAAGATGGCGGCACAGTGGCTTCAAAACAGCGCCCTCTGTTAGTCATCTAGTGTATATATAAATCATTGATGGCAGTGCAGCATGGTGTGATTGACTCGTGCCCTTCATCAAACTGCTCATCAGACAATCTTGTGGGAGCTTTGATGGACAGCTCTTTCCCGCCACCAGGGACATAGGCATGGGTGGGCACGGGTGGGCCTGGGTGATCACAGGTGGGCACCCACTGGGGAGCCAGGCCCACCCAATCAGATTTTTTTATGCTCTACTTGTCAGTGTTCCAAATGGAAAATTATTTGTATTTTTACCTAAGCACAGTACTTGACTTGGGCAGGAGCTCACCGAAACTGAGTATCGGCACCTCAAATGTTCTTCTGCTTGAGTTCCTGCACCTCCTATAGAGTATTAGCACAAAAGTATTAAGGAGTTCCTGTACCTAAATATAAATGGTACCGGCACCCAAAATGAGTACCGGCACCTATTTCAGTCCAAGTCAAGCACTGGCCTAAACATGCATTCACCATCAGATAGAATTCATAGAAGCAGTAGGGATGGGGTTGGAAAACTAAAGGGATATACACAGTTTATTAGGTACACCCATCTTGTTCAGGGTCGGACCCCTCTTTGCCTCCAGAACAACCTGAATTCTTTAGGGCATGGATTCTACAAGTCGAAGTTGTTGGATGTTGGTCCATGCTGACATCACGCAGTTGCTGCAGATTGGACAGTGGTACACAACCAGCCTGTACCGATGACACCAGGCAGGATGGGGCAATGGACTAATACAAAAACCTGACTCTGCCATCAGCATGACACAACAGAAACTGGGATTCGTTGGACCAGGCAATGTTTTTCCACTCCTCAATTGTTGGTGATCTTTTGCCCACTTGCACTGCTTCTTCTTAACTGATAGGAGTGGAAACCAATGTAAGTCGTCTGCTGCACTAGCCCATTGATGACAAGGACCAACGAGTTGTGCTTTCAGAGACGCACACCACTCTGTTTCTTTGCCTCTGTGTCAATTACAGTACATTCTAGTCTTTTAGCAGACACTCTTATCCAGAGCAATTTACAGTAGTGAGTGCATACATTTTTCATACTGGTCCCCCTTGGGAATCGAACCCACAACTCTGGCGTTGCAAGTGCCATGCGCTACCAACTGAGCCACACGGGACAAGCTGCACTGTTCATTAGATTCTTCATATACAATTTCACAATTGATAATATTCTTACCCATCAGACTATTGTCAACGTAATCTTGTCTTTAGGCTAATATATGTGTGAAATTAATTTAGGTTTAGGTGTAGATTAGATGGGCCATCAGCTGCACAAGCCTGACAGACAACAAAAAAAGACAAGCTTATAACAGAAATTCTGTTTGTGATATTAAGATTCTAACAATGATAGTGTGTTAGACTTATTTAGGGAAAGTCAAGGACGGGGGGACATAACTTTCAAAATGGCAGAGCAATTAAAAAAGTAAATTTGTTAGTCAATATGACGCTCTCGGCTCTCGTGATGTTTGTGGTCCTCTGTAGCTCAATTGGTAGAGCATGGCGCTTGTAACGCCAGGGTAGTGGGTTCGATCCCCGGGGCCACCCATACGTAAAAATGTATGCACACATGACTGGAAGTCGCTTTGGATAAAAGCGTCTGCGAAATGGCATATTATTATTATATTATATTATGTTAAAAGGTTACATTTGTGGCCGCCTAGCCTACTATCTCCTGGTAGCTGAGCCAGTGAGAGGTTGCCGAGCCTATTGTGATTATTACTGTTATATCAGGGCATTATGTTCCCGTCTCATAGTCTATTAACTACAGGCCTATGGTTTATTATGTGTAAGTCTGTGTGAGTCGCATGTTAAATGCAAGAGTCATGGATTTACATAGGCCTACAAGGCTATTTGGTCTGTAATGTGAAATCGCATGTTAGATGGTTTGTTGTGTGCAATAAATTACAGTAGGGTATAGGGTAGGCTATGCTTATATCATAATATTATGATGATTTGAGCGCCCAAATTTTGGCCCACCTAAATGTTTGCTGGCCCTGCCATCAGCGGATTTCTGACAGCCACTCTTCAGAAGTGAAACTGGGTTGTTTTTGCCTCTTGGCTAAAAAAAAAATGACATGACAGCTTCTTAGGCTATACATTAGCTTTCACAGATAGACAGGCCCACAGGGACTTTAACAGAAACTGAGAAAGGTTTTTATAGAGAAACAAGAGATGAAAGCTTTCTGTATTTCTGCAAGAGAGGACTAGGCCTATAGGCCCTATGTGAGTGATTGACCCATGGCAGGCCCCTTAAAACTGCATTGTTGGTTAAGGGCTTGTAAGTAAGCATTTCACTGTAAGGTCTACACCTGTTGTATTTGGCGCATGTGACAAATAAAATGTGATTTGATTTGATGTAGGTAAGACATTCAGGAGTGCCTTTTGATAGGCTGAACGCTTTTGGTTAGCCGCCTACACCTAAGTATGTGTTATTGTAGGCTTTTCATCTTAGGTACGTCCAGTGCTTAATTTGTAAATCTGGAGGTGCCAGAACAAAAGGTGAGCTTGAGAGGGGGGTGACCTGGGGGTGACCTGGGGAGTTCTGAGGTTTTGAGGTACTGGAACGCATGAGAAGAAAGTGGCATAGAGCAGTAGAGTTGAGGCACTTACAGAAGTTGCACACATTGGGAAGATTTTTAGTAGCCTAGGGTCCCGGAAAAATGTGGCCTTTTATAAATCAATTTCATGCACTTCTACATAATTTTACATGACTCGAGACTTTGGCAGAATCTTTTTTAATACCGCACAAATAAATTATCGAAATGGCAGGCTACTTTGACACTGACAAACTGAGAATCTGAGATCAATAAAAACGAGCTTGTCTTGAATCCATCAATAGCCTAGGCCTAGGTATGTGGAGGCACATATTGTAGGCTACAATATGAGGAGGAAATTAGAGTCCTAAAAATGCTTTCCAGTTTCACTGACTCACCCAATGACACGCAGCTCACTCGCTGGTGATGGCTAATGGGCTCGTGCCAAAAGCCTATCTCTCTTTTGTTTTACTTTGTAAAACAATATTTGGAAGTTTATCAAATATTTTGGTAGCCTACAGCATAGAGTCTTCTCTTTTCAGCAGGAGCCATTTGCTTCCAACCTGTGTTTTCTCTCAATTGTATTTGAAATATTGCTAAAGGCCTCTTTTGTCTGCATGCTGTATTTTCACTGACAGATTTGCCTCGCGTTCCCAACTGTAGGCTATTCCTTGTTATTGCGCTACAATCCACAGCAAGGCTATTTGTAAAAAGAAGCTATTGATCCTCTGTGGCTAAATTATAGGCCTTCTCATGGTGTAGTAGGCTATTCTGAATGATTTCATTTCTTTCTGAACAGACAGCAGTAATTATATAACTTTGGCAAATGTACTTACATTTATCAGGGGTGCAGTTCCTTCAGAACCCTTCGTGCGATTCTATAAGGAAATAAATGACGAAATGCAATGCTGGTGAGAGGAGAGTTGCAGGCTCATGTCTATCAGAGCAGAGAGGGAGAGAAATCACATAAAGTGAATCTCATTCTAGTTACAGTGCCTTCGGAAAATATTCAGACCCCTTGACTTTTTCCACATTTTGTTACGTTACAACCATATTCTAAAATGGATTAAATTGTTTTTCCCCTCATCAATCTACACACAATACCGCATAATGACAAAGCAAAGACAGGTTTTTAGACATTTTAGCAAATGTATATATATACAAAATGGAAATATCACATTTACATAAGTATTCAGACCCTTTACTCAGTACTTTGTTGAAGTACCTCCCGAGTGGCGCAGTGGTCTAAGGCACTGCATCGCAGTGCTAGCTGTGCCACTAGAGATCCTGTGTCGAATCCAGGCTCTGTAGTAGATGGCCGCGACCGGGAGACCCATGGGGCGGCACACAATTGGCCCAGCATCGTCCAGGGTAGGGGAGGGAATGGCCGGCAGGGATGTAGCTCAGTTGGTAGAGCATGGCGTTTGCAACACCAGGGTTGTGGGTTCGATTGAAAAATAAAAAAATTATGTATGCACTAACTGTAAGTCGCTCTGGATAAGAGCGTCTGCTAAATGACTAAAATGTAAGTACCTTTGGCAGCGATTACAGCCTCGAGCCTTCTTGGGTATGATGCTACAAGCTTGGCACACCTGTATTTGGGGAGTTTCTCCCATTCTTCTCTGCAGATCCTCTAAAGATCTGTCAGGTTGGATGGGGAGCGTCGCTGCACAGCTATTTTCAGGTCTCTCCAGAGATGTTTGTTCGGGTCCAAGTCCGGGCTATGGTTGGGGCACTCAAGGACATTCAGAGACTTGTCCCGAAGCCACTCCTGCGTTGTATTGACTGTGTGCTTAGGGTCGTTGTCCTGTTGGAAGGTTAACCTTCGCCCCAGTCTGAGGTCCTGAGCGCTCTGGAGCAGGTTTTCATCAAGGATCTCTCTGTACTTTGCTCTGTTCATCTTTCCCTCGATCCTGACTAGTCTCCCTGCCGCTGAAAAACATTCCCAAAGCATGATGCTGCCACCACCATGCTTCACCGTAGGGATGGTGCCAGGTTTCCTCCAGACGTGACGCTTGGCATTCTACCAAAGAGTTCAATCTTAGTTTCATCAAACCAGAGAATCTTGTTTCTCATGGTCTGAGAGTCCTTTAGGTGCCTTTTGGCAAACTCCAAGCGGGCTGTCACGTGCCTTTTACTGAGGAGTGGCTTCCGTCTGGCCACTCTACCATAAAGGCCTGATTGGTGGAGTGCTGCAGAGATGGTTGTCCTTCTGGAAGGTTCTCCCATCTCCCAAAGAGAAACTGTGGAGCTCTGTCAGAGTGACCATCAGGTTCTTGGTCAAATCTCTGACCAAGGCCCTTCTCCCCCGATTGCTCAGTTTGGCCGGGCGGCCAGCTCTAGGACGAGTCTTGGTGGTTCCAAACTTCTTCCATTTAAGAATGGTGCTTTAATGCTGCAGAAATGTTTTGGTACCCTTCCCCAGATCTGTGCCTCGACACAATCCTGTCTCGGAGCTCTACGGACAATTCCTTCGGTCTCATGGCTTGGTTTTTGCTCTGACATACACTGTCAACTGTGGGACCTTATATAGATAGGTGTGTGCCTTTCCAAATCATGTCCAATCAATTGAATTTACCACAGGTGGACTCCAATCAAGTTGTAGAAACATCTCAAGGATGATCATTGGAAATAGGATGCACCTGAGCTCAATTTCGAGTCTCATAGAAAAGGGTCTGAATACTTATGTAAATAAGGTTTTTCTGTTTTAGTTTTTTTAATAAATTTGCAAACATTTGTAAAAACCTGTTTTTTGCTTTGTCATTATGGGGTAATGTGTGTAGATTGGTGAGGAATTTTTTTAATTTAATCAATTTTAGAATAAGGCTGTAACATAACAACATTTTGAAAAAGTCAAGGGGTCTGCTCATACAAAGGTTACAATGTTGTGTAAACCATAAACCCGGGCCAGCCCAAACCGAATTAACTCTTAGAATATTAGGCCTGGGCTGAAAATCAACTTTTTCACATTACGTTTTTTAGTGGGGGCAGGATAATTAATGAAGAGGGAACTTGAATGAACTTTGATCGCTTTTGTTAGAATTTTTACATAGCAAAAGGTGAAAATAATTTATCATGCCAGGAGAGGTACCGGAACCAGCCAAATAGGTTCCGGAACAAAACCGTCCAAAACGGAGAGGAACAGGATCCGGCAGGATCTGGCTCAAATCAAGCACTGGGTACGCCAAAATAATATGTGTCCCGTGTAGCTCGGTTGGTAGAGCATGGCGCTTGCAACGCCAGGGTTGTGGGTTTGATTCCCACAGGGGGCCAGTATGAAAATGTATGCACTAACTGTAAGTCACTCTGGATAAGAGTGTCTGATAAATTACGTAAATGTAATATATTAGAATGGCATGTATCCTACTGTAGTAGCTAGGCCTAGGAATCCTTCAGACCTCGCAAAATCCATAGGTGTAAAGTTGGCAACAACAAAAAAACATAGCTATACTTGCACCCCAGGAGTGTCTCGGATTTACATACAGAATAATACGAAATGCTCCGAGACCAGGTTGTGCACCATTGTCACTGTAGCCTATATCTTTCTTTGACTAGGCTTCTCTTTTCACCAAGCAAAATGGGATGGGGACACAGTCAATTCGGCCTTAAACCGCTTGCCAGATACACCCACTCATTGCCCGCGCGCTGCAGCTCGCCTCCAGTACTATATAAAAAATGGATAGTCTCGTTGTAGCCAAGATCATCTTGGGCACCGCAGACAGAGATGGGATCACACTACAAAACAGTATAGTGTGCATAGACTTTAATATTTGCATAAAGGACTTGAGTCCATACTTTGCATTCAATTAATTTGGATGAAATATCTTCCTCCTACAGTCTATATTCATACATTTCATTTAGGAAACATTTTGTGGAAGCTTATCCATAAACATCACACATTAAGGCTATGGATGGACATTTATGAACTAATAGAGTTATTAACATTTCCAAAGAAGGGAAAAATCAAGTTAAGATCAGAACACTTTTCAAGCTTCACTGAAAACATTCCTTTGCATAGCCCTGGCACAATAGGGGCTATTATTATTCGGGCATTTAATGACACGGTAACCTGCATTACGAACCTCTATTGCAATGCGGCGGCGCTCCACAGATCCTTCAGTGTAGTGTTCCGCAGGCATAGGCAGGGGTGCTATTCCGTCATGTGATTGTAGGTTTAGTCCTTCTTCCAAGTTGAATTGCAAGCAAGGCAGTGCGGGGCCAGCCTTCCTCAATCTCGGTCGCTGCAGTACTAGCTAGATGCGGTGACTTTCGTCCCGATTTCTCACTCGGTGTGATTTTCTTCAACTTTTTAAGATGGCCGGTGCAATTATTGAAAACATGAGCACCAAAAAGTTGGTGATCGTGGGAGTGATTCTGCTTTTATTCCAAGCGTTTTCTTTTATGGTCGGAGGCTTGATTGGTAAGCATGGTTTTTCCAATTGTATTCCTTTTTGTTGCAACCTTTGGCTTTGTTATGCGATATCCGCGGTTGAATAACCACGATTTATAGATGATCGAATATTCTAGGTATCAAATAATGAAAACAACTTAGTTCTTTAGACAATATCATTTTAAAGAGGATTGTATTTTTTAAAACATCTATGTTTTGTTATAAAATGGAACAGTATGGCGACTGTAGGGCTTGCCTTAGTAGCATGCTTCATCTTGTCATGTAAAAGTTTTGCCTATGTAACTATTAACAATGTAGCCTTTAACGAAGTTTTGAACTCGTCAAAGTTTTAAGAAAAATAACGTATTCGTCTCCAACTCAATCTTTTCATCTGTGTTGACGTTGCGTGGTTTAATGTGGTCTTGAAACATTGTAAAATTTTCCATTAATAATACACAAACAACTTCCCTATTTCATAAAACTTATTGTAAAGTATCGAGTTAATTCACTTTTAATTGGCAAATGAGTTTGTTTTTCCAATAATAATAACCTCTATTCCTGTAAAACACCATAGGAATTGGTGTTTATCTTGAACTTTGATTCAACACAGAATGTCTGCTCTCCTCCTTCCCCTCATTAAGTCTGTCTCCGTGGCCCCAGGCAGGCAGTCCCCCTTGCATCCCCCTCAAATCCCAAACCCCTCTCAGCATTGCATATTTCCTCTTCTCCTGCTGGTTCCATTTGCATGGCTCTACTCTCCACTGACACACACACACACACACACACACACACACACACACACACACACACACACACACACACACACAGCTGTCAAAATGGTGTTCTGCCTCAAGGACTACACCAGAGTTGCTGTCAGCTTTTTTCCCATGTGCCTACACACACACACACAGATACTCCTACACAAGCTCAATGTCACAATAGTTGAGTCCTATAAGGCCTGTTGTTACAGATTCCTATCTGGTTAGTTTGGGGGAAAACTTTCTCCACTCAGTCAGTCTCCACTCCAGAGCTGGATGGCTACTGATACAAATTAGCTTGTTTAGGACGCTCCTGCCTTAGATAGTTTTAATGAAGCCGGATGCCTTTGTATTTGCTTGGTGGCCGGGGCAAGCCAGGGTAATTGAGTAGAAAGGCGTTCATCTCCCCCTGTTATTGGACAACTCCGACACGGCATGAGGTCACTGGGCAGAGAGGCGGACGTTATTGCGGAAACACTGAGGTGGAAACTGGAGGAGTGTTGTGTGCCCGGAATCTTAGGGTCACAGGATAATTGAACTCTGAGGGGTTCAGTAGAGCTGGTTTAATTCAATTTGGTGTGTCTGTGTGCTTGTTCCTGAGTAGGCCTAAGTCCATTGTGAGGTGACACTGGCGCACCTAGCTAAGAAGACACACACACACACACACACACACACACACACACACACACACAGAGAGAGATAGTTGATGCTCTTCTCAAGATGGCCTGATTAGTTTTATGAGCGGGTGCCAAAGGCCTAGCCTCAAGGGTGCTTTTATGTTGTGGTATGTTTTTTCAGTTACTCTATTAAGAGTAAATAAATTGTCTCGACATCAGCTGGTAATGGAGACCATCTGCACAGACCAGGGCCTCGCAATCGGACATGTTTCCTTGTTTTAGCTGTTTTCGTCTGTGGATAAAACATAAAAGGTGTATGATATTTGAGCACGTAAGTAACTAATGTGAAACGGTGGATTGTTGTTGGTGTCTCAAATGACTTCCCTTTGAGCTAATCATTGATTATAGTAGCACTGATGTATTCCTAGCAAGGATTAGTTAATTACCCCTGAATTTAGGGGGATATATTGATGAAGGGAAAAGTCGCTCATGCTTTTTTGGCCATGGCTGACGTCTGTCTCTGGCCCTGAGGGTCTGTCTCTTGTTTTTACCTATTACCAATACATTACAGTATTGTGTGCTGGGGCCTTTCCCGGCAGCTAGTTTCAAAGGGATTGGGCCTTGCTACAGGGTGTTCTGTCAACATGGTTAGAAATAATTGGCACTTTGTTAATGCAGGATTTGGCTAGGTCATTTTGTGGGTGAAATTTTATTTTACTGTTTTTGACAATAAACAAAAACCATAGCAAAACGTCTTCATGTATACCTACTTTGTTGAGCTTGATAGCTGTCTGACACATCTTAAACTCCAGGACAAAGCTTTGATTATGAGTTTGGAAATGGATTGTTTTTAACTTCACCTTTAGCCTAACTATGAATTCACTGAAAGTAGACACACTTTGTGAGGCACATACACGTTATAGAATACAAAGTTGTTTCAAAATTCCACACGATTGCACTTTTCAGCACAATACTAAAAGGATACACATAGAGCATTGAAATAAGAACGCAACAAAATTGTGGAACGATGTGGTCAGCCACCAAAAATTACAATTTTAAATCCCCAAAATACCATTTACCGCTCATTTCATCAAATATATATATATTTATTTTCTACACGAAAGGTGTCATCCTCAGGACAGATGAATAGGACTACTTATGTATCTAGGGTAGCTAACACTGTAACCGGGCAGTAACCTAGCAAGCAATTACCCAGGCTAACGTCTCTTTTCCTCTCCATGTAGCTCCCAGCCCCACCACAGCGGTCCACTACCTGGCCACCAAATGTGTGGATACGGTCAAACACCACCAGAGCACCAAATGGTTCATGCCCTGGGGCCCTAACCAGTGCGACAAGATCCGGGACTTTGACGAGGCCATGGCCAAGAAGATTGAGGCCAACAACATTGTGTTTGCCGTCCATATCCCCCTGCCCAACAAGGAGATGAGCCCCTGGTTCCAGTTTATGCTGGTCATCCTACAGTTTGACATTGCTTTCAAGATGTACAACCAGATAGGTGAGCGACAGTTCTTGTTAGGATTCATTGTGTATCAATTGTGTTATTTCAGGAGTCCGTGACATTTTTACCTTGTTGATCTTTGTCTGTTTTTGTGTGTTTGTGTTGTCTGTCTGTTGTCTTTGTATATTGTCTGGCAGTCTTTCTGTCAGTCTTTGTCTGGTTTGTCTGTCTGTGTTGTATCATGACTCATGAGGACTCACCAGTCCATGCAGCTCTATGACCTCTGAAGTATGTGTCCTTTATCTTTTACACTCTCTGTGGATCCAATTCTAAAGTATTCAGATGTGTCTATAGATACTGTTGATATTAGTGTCCCTCTACGTCACCTCAGGCTGTTGCCTGCTTTTGTCCCATGAGCCTCCAGAGGAATGTGCCTTTTCTCTCCCCAGTAGATTGGATTTCTCTCACGCTGAGAGGAAGGCCTAACGATGACGGATGTGCTGGTTCTCCCTAGTGATACAAGCCTCAGAGATCCATGTCAGAGGCTAATAGTCTCTATAGAACAGGTAGTTGGGGGAGGCTCGAACTGTGGTGGGCTGTCTCAATTTGGAAGCTGATAGCTTTGGAATTCCCTAGTATGCAGTGGAATAACACTGCTGAGCAAATATGTCACATTTTCTCCTGGCTATCCACAAGACGAATTGTAACATGGTATATGGTACGTCACTCAGTGAGGGTTGGGGATGAGTGTCTCACTCTCCATTGTAGAGGTCAATGTAACATTTGAAAACAAACACAAAAGCCCTGAAATATTGAGTTATTTTCAGCAGCAGGTGTTTGCTCAATTAACTTGTGCCTGATCTGATGAAGGCTAGTTTTTCCCCCATCCTTTTGCTCATCAAAGCAGACATCCCGCACCTCCCTGTATCTTCTTAACATTCCTTTACGTTCAGATCAGGAATGGTTGGCCACGTCCTTATCTGAACATGGTATAAGTCAGATCTGTGCCCAATTCCAATCTGAACCCAATGCACTTCCTGTATACCTATTACAATATGGTACTATACATGGGAAAAGGTCACCATCTTTCTTACATCAATCCAGTCTGTTCTCCCAGATCTACCTGAAAATATTAGGTGTAGGGATGAGGGTTTGATTTGGAAGTGTGCACAGTTCTCACATTCAGAGAAGGATTAAGACTAGGCAACCCTCGTCTGGCCTGGGATAAAGGGAAGGGTAGTATGGAATGTTGGGCTTGCTTCTCCCTTCTGTAGCACTGTAGCGAGTGGAATGTCTATTGAGTGTGTGGTTGGTAAGAAGGAGGCGGCACTGACTGGGCAGATCGTCGCTTTGCGCTGCGCCAGGTCTGGGGCTGTGAAAGAAGGGATTAGAGGTATAATGAAGAGGTCTAATGAAGGGGGATTGGTGGGCTGGGCCGGCCTGGGAATGTGATCAGAACACTCTTTTAAGCTCCAGGAGCCATTTGGATGGAGGGAGGCAGAGCCCAACTTCTTCTTATGTTGTGTAACAGATTTCATAGCTGGCTTAGCAGCGGTTGTACAGCAGGGATCATCAACTACATTCAGCCGCGGGCCGTATTTTTTTTTGTTGAGTGGATGGTCAGGGGCCCGGAACATAATTACAAATAATTTGTCGACTGCAAATTGACCGCAAGAAGCACAAACTGATATAACTTTTGACTAAAACATAATAATTTCAAACCTTGCTTACATTTTGTGTATGATCACACATATCTCTCTATTATGCGTGGGAGTAGTTTGGAACAGATTTTCTAAATGAAAATCACATGGAGATGATTTGCTGGTGTTATGTCCAACAATAAAAACTTGTATTTTTTGTTCAGAGAACTTGGGTTGGCCAAATAAAATCCCCTGTGGGCCTCCAGTTGGGGAACTGTGTAACTTCCTCCTCTCACCAAAGATATGTTGCGAAGTACGCTTGTGAGCAGTGAAGTTGCATTTTATTACGACAAAACATACATTTTATATTTTCTATCTTGTTTGAGTGAGGTTTATACGGTTTATTCCCATATAAACCAAGTCCTGTTTCAGTGTATACTCGTCAAAGTGTCGAGTCGTAAAAAAGAAATAAGTTCCTGTCCCAAGCATGAAATTGTTGGGGTTGTTTACAGCTTGCGCTGCCAGATTAGTCTGTGATTCACCACTCCGTCCCAGAATTCCACCCACACAGATGCTGTGGAATGGGACTGTTATCCACCCCACTCTGAGCCACTGGGGCAGCCGGGGCCAGGCAGACTACCTCTGATCATTTGCCAGCAGTGTTAATGTGCCTGGCCGCGGGCCCTGAGGCAAGGGCCTAATGATCACCTTGATGCCAACAGCTGCCAATGACCGAGCCGCGGAGGAGAGCTAGACATCCGGCACGAAAATGGCAAGCAGCTGCATATCAAACGACATATTCAACTTCAGTGCTGAAACGTGTAGCTGTAATGTAACCGATCACAAATCAAATCCAGGTTGTCCTTGCAACTCAAGATCATATTAGCTCGCTGAACTCTAGGTCTCTTTTTGGTCTCAACAGAGGTCAGATAGTCTCAGGCAGGAATACTCTTCATGCGAGTCTAGCTCTGCAAACAACCACTGTTACATTAACAAGGAGTGGAGCGCTAGTTTGTTCAAGGAAGAGGATTTCCAGCCAGTCTATTGACAGCTCTAGGTTGAGGAGTTCCAGCCAGTCTATTGACAGCTCTAGGTTGAGGAGTTCCAGCAGTCTATTGACAGCTCTAGGTTGAGGAGTTCCAGCAGTCTATTGACAGCTCTAGGTTGAGGAGTTCCAGCCAGTCTATTGACAGCTCTAGGTTGAGGAGTTCCAGCAGTCTATTGACAGCTCTAGGTTGAGGAGTTCCAGCAGTCTATTGACAGCTCTAGGTTGAGGAGTTCCAGCAGTCTATTGACAGCTCTAGGTTGAAGAGTTCCAGCCAGTCTATTGACAGCTCTAGGTTGAGGAGTTCCAGCAGTCTATTGACAGCTCTAGGTTGAGGAGTTCCAGCAGTCTATTGACAGCTCTAGGTTGAGGAGTTCCAGCCAGTCTATTGACAGCTCTAGGTTGAGGAGTTCCAGCAGTCTATTGACAGCTCTAGGTTGAGGAGTTCCAGCCAGTCTATTGACAGCTCTAGGTTGAGGAGTTCCAGCCAGTCTATTGACAGCTCTAGGTTGAGGAGTTCCAGCCAGTCTATTGACAGCTCTAGGTTGAGGAGTTCCAGCCAGTCTATTGACAGCTCTAGGTTGAGGAGTTCCAGCCAGTCTATTGACAGCTCTAGGTTGAGGAGTTCCAGCAGTCTATTGACAGCTCTAGGTTGAGGAGTTCCAGCCAGTCTATTGACAGCTCTAGGTTGAGGAGTTCCAGCAGTCTATTGACAGCTCTAGGTTGAGGAGTTCCAGCAGTCTATTGACAGCGCTCTAGGTTATTACTTTCTCACGGCATCCAAATCTCTCTGGCTGACAGGTAAGCAAAGAAGCAGAGCTCTCAGTGTCTGACAAAATGGCCTCTGTCTATAACTCAACCAGAACCACTTTCTTTAGACAGTACCATGCCAAAGGGTTAGACAGTACCATGCCAAAGGGTTAGACAGTACCATGCCAAAGGGTTAGACAGTACCATGCCAAAGGGTTAGACAGTACCATGCCAAAGGGTTAGACAGTACCATGCCAAAGGGTTAGACAGTACCATGCCAAAGGGTTAGACAGTACCATGCCAAAGGGTTTAGACAGTACCATGCCAAAGGGTTAGACAGTACCATGCCAAAGGGTTAGACAGTACCATGCCAAAGGGTTAGACAGTACCATGCCAAAGGGTTAGACAGTACCATGCCAAAGGGTTAGACAGTACCATGCCAAAGGGTTAGACAGTACCATGCCAAAGGGTTAGACAGTACCATACCAAAGGGTTAGACAGTACCATGCCAAAGGGTTAGACAGTACCATGCCAAAGGGTTAGACAGTACCATGCCAAAGGGTTAGACAGTACCATGCCAAAGGTAAGGGGATTCTACTCCTCAGTCATATGACTATTGCGGAATGTATAAAGAAGCCCCCCAACAGCACCTTGGCCACTTGGTGTTATAAAGCTGGTCCCTGAGATGAATTGACCCCCTTTCTTCCTCCCCCACCCCACTCTACCCCGGCTCCAATCACCCCTGGCAGGGGTCCAGCAATAACACAGCTGTTGAGAAGGCTTAGTCACTGTGGCGATGGGCGCTGGACTGGGGTGGAATGTTTGTGTGCGGTAAGCTGACATTCAGGATCTTTGGTAGTGTTCGCTTGAGAGGGGAGGGATAGAGGGGTTCGGGGAGACGGTAGAGGAGAGAGGACTGCCAATAACCCCCCCCCCCCCCCCCCCCCCCTCTTTTCCTCTCTTCCCCCTCTCCCGGTCAGGCCACCGGGTTTCTTTCAGTGCTCTCCAGCTTGTTTCATAACTGCACAAGAGTCTGTTTGGAAGGGGGAAGTACAGAACACTTTGCCTTTGCAATGTGATCTAAAGCCTGTCTTGGCATGCTCACTCCCATTTTGTTTCTTAAAGCACTTAAAACGAGGTTCAGCTCTGAAAGGTTTCACCTTCAAGTCAGGCCTATAGTATCATTACCCACTGTGTAGTAGTAGACTGAACTCAAGGCCTTACGTACATGTACGTAAAATAGCTTTAAGCTACAGGGAAATGTTTCAGATCATTGATCATCCTTGGACTATTTTTGGATCAACATGGCATGAAGTTGAGAGGTTTTGGTGCATCTGTTCTGATAGTGTTTTTGATGACATGGTTTCTTTCTTTCCTACATACTTTGAAGGTTGAAGGGATAGTTCACCCCAACTTGAAAGTTTCTCCAACGTTTTCATACCTCAAACGATCAAATGAGTCACATTTTAAGGACATAAAATGGAGTGGCTACGGATATGGAGTTTCTGTATCCCAATTTCCTAAGGCAAAAAATATATGGATATTTCTGCGCATGTGCAGGATATTTCTTTTTTACGTAGTTGAGTACCCACTCCGCTGCCACTCCCCCCTCCTTTATCGCCTCTGGTCACTGGTGTAGCTTACAAACTTAATGTCGTCCACAAAACTGTTATAACATGCCTTGGTAATCATAAGCGCGATTTCATGTCCTTTTTTTGCAGGAGGGTAGTAGGCTATTTACATATTTTACACAATATGCATTATCAACTTGATCGTACAAACTTTGTCAGTATTTCAAACATAAGCAAGACACAAACAGGTAGTCTAGCCAATTTCATGTTATTCTTAGCTGCTGAGGTAAATGCAGCTATTTACTCTCTCCAAGATATCACTATATGGCATAAATATGGAACTTGCCCATTGTCAGATATTTTTAATTTTTTTATCGATCTGGATACATGCCCGGCTGCCTAGAACGTTCGGCTGCCCAGAGGTGGAACGCAGCAAGACAATTAGTGATTGAATGTTCTTTTTCTTTCATCATCATTGCAAACATTGGCTATGCTGCACAGGAGGCAGACAGGCAGTCAACTGCAATCTACATGACAACAGACAGACCGAGAAGGTTGTAGCCTTCGTATACATGTTTTGGAATGTTCATTCAAATTGCCTCAGGCTTTTTATTTCAGCTGTTGAGAAATACGAGGCAGAGACATAGGCTACGTCATCATGGTTCAGAAGAGGCTGTACGGCCACTGCATGGTCAATCCAACGTCTGCAGTGGCCGTACAGCATTTACTGTGATAAGGCCACTGCAGAATTAAGGGGATTCATACTTCTTGCGCTACACATTGAAGAGCTGTTGTGAAGGAAGTTGTAATTGAGTTTGTGTTTATACAGGACCTCATGAAAATGTTGGTTGACGGTAGGTGCACGGCGTTGCGGTACGGAGCTCGCCTTTGGTGGCTCCGCAATTGCGTCACACCTTCTGTACGGAGCCTCCAGATCACATTACCTGAGCAAGCATAAATTGGCTTTGAAGAGCGAAACGTGAAGGGAGGCGAAGTATGAACAGCAGCTACGTTAGTAAAACTAATGTGTGCGTAAAATAACAAATGCGCAGAACGTGATCCAGATCCATAGCTTTAAGGGGTTTCTGGAGGTGTGGGCAGGGGCAGGGCGAAAGCTCTCTATCTGTAGGCACAGCCCTTTTTGTGGGTTGAACTATCCCTTTCATCAGCCCAATGAGCCCAGTGTCACATTTGTAGCCTTTGGAGTAGTTTAGACTTGCACTCTTTGTCTTTAATGGATGTTGATGCATATGCATGGGAAATGATAACATTTCATTCACACTAAGTGAAAGCAAATGATGTGTCGGGTGATTTGACAGCCTTAAAATTACCCAGTGTTGCTCTTATCAGATCTTATGTTTAGCAGAGATATGCATCCTTTTCACAGGTCCAGACGTTGCTCCCTCTCTGGCCTCTTCCTACCCCTTATCATGACTCCAGTTCCATTGCATTCCATTGGGTCATTCCACATAGCTATATGCTGCCTGAGGCAAATGTCCCGACGCTGCCCGACTCTAACCAAATGCTCTGTTTAAATGCAAATATGCCTCGCAACGCTATATGGTTTGGGAAACATTTAGAACTTAACTTTTCTATAAGCGAGAAATTATTATTCTAATACAAAATATACACTTACTGTACCCAGTTTAGCAAAGTTGCATCCGGCTGTATTTTGAGAAACTCATGCGATCCAGCCGTAAATGTGGAATGGAATGGTCCAATGGAAATGCGAGCACAAGGTGAGAGTATGTGTCCTACCTCGGCTGGAGGCAGTGTGTGAAAAGATTCGGGTGCTACTTTGCTAAACTGTGTATTGTAAGTGTATCTTTTGTATTTAAAAGATTAGTTCTCGCTGGTATGAAAGTTAAAATCCAAATGTTTCCAAAACCGTATCGCAAGCGAAGATTGTTAATGTTTCTAAACTTTAAAACCGAGCGTGGGGATTGTAGTTCACATGGCGCCAGCTGCAATCCATATGTTCAGCTGAAAAGCCAAAAGCTGATAAGCCAAGACGGGGACCGTTGTAAGCCCCCTTGGGCCCCCTTTGGTCAATTGAGAGCTAGCCTCTTACCAAAAAGACTGTCTCTCTGTCATCAGAGACTTATTTCATCCCAGTCATCGCTGGTTTACACAGATGTATTGATGTCAAAGCTACAAATTTAAGTTGAGCAGGTGTAAATGGAGAATTTAATTAATTGCAAATTCCCCCTTAAATGCTGATCTGCTTGTTCAGACCTGCATAGATCAAAAACAGGATAGATGTGTCATTGTAATGAAGTCTCCATAACTGGTATCTATATAAAGTTTGGTAGTTGGTCAATTTGTGAACCTTTTGAACATTCAGATCACCCTAAAGTGTGATATGTTGACATTTTCCCCCCTACAGAGGATGGAGCATTGGCCACCATCGACGTGGGTTTGGCCTACAGGGATGACACGCTCAGCGAGTGGACAGAGATGGCCCACTCCATAGAACAGAGGAAGCTCAGCTGCAACTTCACCACCACCAAGGTAAACACTTTGTGGAGTGCTCAACACTTCCAGTCCTCAATATCTGTTGTGCTACTGGCTTTTGTTTAATTTTGCCATCTGATTGCTCACACTTGATTTTTCAGGTATTAATCAGTCTCTCAAAGTCCCATCGTTTCAGCTCATCAGATTATTTTTGTGTAAAAGAAGAAATCCATATAAGTTGAGTTGTTGTCCAATTGGATATCTCTTACCGTTATCATCTTGTGTCCTGTAGACGTATGAGAATGAGGGCCGCTACTATGAGTGTGACCTGCTGCCCTTCATGGAGCTGGGCAACGTGGCCCACAAGTACTACCTGCTCAACATCCGCCTGCCCGTCAGCGAACGCAAGAAGATCAACGTGGGCATCGGTGAGATCAAGGACATCCGCCTGGTGGTGAGCATTCTCTACCACACATCTCTTCCATATCGCCCCGTCTCCTCTCAGTTGGGAGAGACTATAATATATCCTTGATTATCAAATATTCTTTACTATCGAGGCTTCACACGCCCAAAGTGTGAAAATACTTTGGTTAGGTTTTTTGATTTTGTCCAAACTGATCGTCAAAATGGCAAAACAAGATGTTGAGATGAACTGTGTGTAAGACTGTGGCTAACGTTTAATTTCCTATCCTATCAGGGTATCCATCAGAACGGCGGTTTCACCAAGGTGTGGTTCGCCATGAAGACCTTCCTCACACCCAGCATCCTCATCATCATGGTGTGGTACTGGAGACGCATCACCCTGATGACACGACCCCCTGTGCTGTTGGAAAAGTAAGGCGGCCATATTGTTTATTGTACTGTAAACGGGATGTTTCTTTGTTCTATATTCAAATTTGGCGTCAAAACAGAGTTCAGTCATCCATTGACATTGGTTGCTTTGTGCGCTGGCGCACCATGTAGATTGTGTGAATCAAGAATGTATCTCTAATCCAAAATGCATGGATGTCCTTGTCCTAGCTATACACACAAGTCAAACCTTCAGCCAGGGTAAAACCCAGTAACCCCAGTGGATACCAGTTAGGCCTAGTGCTTATGGTAACATTAGTACAGGAAGAGACATGTCATTAGATTAACTATGGATGAACTGTGCATCTAGGTCAGATCTTCTCAGTGCGCAGTGTCCTGGGTCCGTATTCACAAAGCATCTCAGAGTAGGATTGCTGATCTAGGATCAGCTCCCCTTTGTGCATGCACTCGTATTCATCATGATCTAAAAGGCTAAATTGATCCTAGAGCAGCAGCTACACTGTTTAATAAAAATTAGAACCAAATGTAGCTTTTTCTAACTAAAATGATAACTAACACCAGATTGCAATGATGTACCAATGTAGTGTAGAATGATACCCTGTGCAGGGAGCTAAAGGTTCAGTTTAGTTTACCCCCTGCAGTGAGGGGAGAGCGTATCAGTATGTCTCTGCGTTCAACACCACAGGAACGTTCGTTGAGGCGTAAAGCGTGTAACACAGTCTTCTAGCACACAACTAACACTTCCACCTCAATCTTTCCTCACTCTCTCCATCTTGTCCTTGGTCTTCGGCTCAGAGCCCTCATTCCCAAATGGCCGCAGAGTTCTCAGGAAATGGCACTCGAACTCTATTTGTGGAGAGGAGATAAAAAATGTTCATGCTGTAAAAGCTTTGGTGAAGCCGTCATGCTATTCCTTAGAGGTGTTGAGATGGAAATCTTATCAGATAACTTTTATTTTAGAACTAACAAGAGATGTAATGGGGAAATGCCTCTCATAGGTACTTAGGCTCCCTGCTGTCTCTGATGGTGGGATTCGTGGGAACTGGGCCAATGTTACATTATTGTCTATGTAAAAAAGTCAGTTGACTGAATGAGCAAGGTGGTTGACACCGGATTTGTTAAAAGCACTTGAATGTTTGTGTAGTGGATTATTTAGGTTTTTGTGCTCAAGACCTTTGAAAAACAAAACAACTCGATGACCACCATGCCTCAGGATACGGTTCTCTTTCCAAACCGAAAGTACATTGTCATTATCAGTATTTAACACAATTAATTGCTGGTGGACTACTTGGAAAGGTTTCCTGGAAAAATATAAAGTACTCGAAGAATCAATTTATCTATGCCTGAAGTCTGTTTCCACTAAAGCTATATTTTATTCTGTTTAGTTTAGTTATTAAAAGAGAACTGTATCCTAAGGCGTGGTGGTCATCGTGTTGTATTGTTTTTCAAAGTACTTGAGCACAAAAAACTAATAATTTACTACACAAACATTCAAGTGTGCTGTAAGTTGAGGCCTCTCTTACGAGTTATGTAGCTAACTCTGCAGCTTGTTTAGTTTAAGTGCTCTTCTTTATATACACCTTCCTCTCTCACGACTGTATAGTCGCAGAGCGCAGGACATTCCCTGCATACCAGCCCAATGTGGTCTCACTGTTCACTCGGTAGAACATGCCGGAACGGTTCTCGCTGCCGACTCTTCTGGAATGTGATTAATGTTTTTAGAGTCAATTGCAAAACCCTCATCCACACACACACACACAATTCCCCCACTCTCAGCCCGCACTGCACCCCTCCTTCCCGCTCCCTGTATTACACCCCCCCCTTCTATACCCCCCTCTCTACACCCTCCTGCTTACACCCCCCCTATCCCTCACCCGCTCCCGCATTACACCCCCCTATCCCTCCCCCTCTGCATACCCCCTCTCCCTCACCCGCTCCCTGCATTACACCCCCCTCTCTATCCTCACCCTCCCTATCCCTCACCCACTCCCGCTCCCTGCTCTTCCTCACCCACTCCCCTGCCTTCCTCCCATCCTCTTTGTGATTATCCTTTCATCTTGTCCCAGCATGTAAGGACTTGCAGCCATTGAACAGAGAAGCCTTATTAGGTTGATATTTATTTATTTTACCCGCAGTGATTTATCAAAGCCAGCAGTGTGGTCCAGTGGTCAGGGAGGTGGAGTCTCCCCAGTTGTTATGGAGGTGGACTATGGAGTCTCCCCAGTGGCTATGGAGGTGGACTATGGAGTCTCCCCAGTTGTTATGGAGGTGGACTATGGAGTCTCCCCAGTTGTTATGGAGGTGGACTATGGAGTCTCCCCAGTGGCTATGGAGGTGGGCTATGGAGTCTCCCTAGTGGCTATGGAGGTGGGCTATGGAGTCTCCCTAGTGGCTATGGAGTCTCCCCAGTGGTTAGGTAGTTGGACTATGGAGTCTCCACAGAGAGACTCCCCCGACTATGTCTCCCTTAGCAGTCTAATGAGATGGGTCTCCCCTATGTCTGACCCCATGTTATGAGTTCTCCGGTGACATTTCTGTCCGATTTTTGTTTGGCTATGTTGAGTTGAAAGAACGTGTTAAAGTATCTGAGCCCAACCTTTTAACAATTCTGCTGATAAAAAAAAAAAAGTAATGTCTATAGTGATTTATATTGATTGTGAGCATTATGTTAATGAAGTATGCTATTAATGACGATGATTGATATTTGTTTTTATGTTGATGATCATGTTGATCATGATGGTGGTAGTGGTGATAATAATGATTTTGATGATGATGATGATGGAGTTGATGATGTGTCCTCCAGGGTGATCTTTGCACTGGGCTTGTGCATGACCTTCATCAACATCCCGGTGGAGTGGTTCTCTGTGGGCTTCAACTGGACCTGGATGCTGCTGTTCGGGGACATCCGGCAGGGCATCTTCTACGCCATGCTGCTCTCCTTCTGGATCATCTTCTGTGGAGAGCACCTCATGGTCTGTCGCCTGTCTCTTCACCTTTCTTCTCACCGACTTAGTATCCATTTAGCTAATGACTTAGTATCCATCGAGCTAATTACTTAGTATCAATTGAGTTAATGCGACTTAGTATCCATTGACTTAGTATCCATTGACTTAGTATCCATTGAATTAGTATGCATTGAATTAGTATCCATTGACTTAGTATTCATTAGTATCCATTGACTTAGTGTCCATTGACTTAGTATGAATTAGTATCCATTGAATTAGTATCCATTGACTTAGTATGACTTGGGGCTTGATTCAATCCATAGTGCGGAAGATCACCGTTGTAGCGCGGTTGACATTCAAAGGTAATTTCCGATTGAGCTGACATATGCAGCGTTTACCGTGAATGCAGTCTACGCGAAAGTGGTAACATTGCCTATCAAATCAAATGTATTTATAAAGTTATTTTTACATCAGCAGATGTCACAAAGTGCTTATACAGAAACCCAGCCTAAAACCCCAACCAGCAAGCAATGCAGATGTAGAAGCACGGTGGCTAGGAAAAACTCCCTAGAAAGACAGGAACCAGGGAAGAAACCTAGAGTGGAACCAGGCTCTGAGGGGAGGCCAGTCCTCTTCTGGCTGTGCCGGGTGGAGATTACAGTATAAAAGTACATGGCCATTAAGGCCAGATCGTTCTTCAAGATGTTCAAACGTTCATAGATGACCAGCAGGGTCAAATACACTGAACAAAAATATAAACGCAGCATGTAAAGTGCTGGTTTCATGAGCTGAAATAAAAGATCCCAGAAATGTTACATGTGCACAAAAAGCTTATTTCTCTCAAATGTTGTGCCCAAATTTGTTTACATCTCTGTTAGTGAGCCTTTCTCCTTGACAAGACAATCCATCCCCTGACAGGTGTGGCATATCAAGAAGCTGATTAAACAGCATGATCATTACACAGGTGCACCTTGTGCATGAGGCAATAAAAGGCCACTCTAAAATGTACAGTTTTGTCACACAACACAATGCCACAGGAGTCTCAAGTTTTGAGGGAGGGTGCAATTGGCATGCTGACTGCAGGAATGTCCACCAGAGCTGTTGCCAGAGAATTGAATGTTCATTTCTCTACCATAATTAATCAATCAATCAAATTGATTTCTAAAGCCCTTTTTACATCAGCAGATGTCACAAAGTGCTTATACAGAAAGCCGCCACCAATGTCGTTTCAGAGAATTTGGCAGTACGTCCAACCGGCCTAACAATCGCAGACCACGTGTATGGCGTCGCGTGGGCGAGCGGTTTGAATTAGTATCCATGGACTTAGTATGACTTCGTATTACTTTGTATCCATAGTCCTAAAACCTTTTATGCTGCTTAGTGTCTGGCTATCTGCTATGATAAATAAAAGTTATAGAAGGATAGGTCTGTCATGGTATTGTGACCTTTGTGGTAAACACCAAATTAGCTGTGAGTCTTTCTGGGTAAGTCTAAGAGCTTTACACACCTGGATTGTGCGACATTTGCCCATTTTATTATTTTCTAAATTCTTCAAGCTCTGTCAAGTTGGTTGTTGATCATTGCTAGACAACCATTTTTAGGTCTTGCCATAGACTTTCAAGTAGATTAAAGTCAAAACTGTAACTCGGCCACTCAGGAACATTCACTGTCTTGGTAAGTAACTCCAGTGTAGATTTGGCCTTGTGTTTTAGGTTATTGTCCTGCTGAAAGGTGAATTCATTTTCCAGTGTCTGTTAGAAAGCAGACTGAACCAGGTTTTCCTCCAGGATTTTGCCTGTGCTTAGCTCCATTCCGTTTATTTCTATCCTGAAAAACTCCCCAGTCCTGAACGATTTCAAGCATACACATAACATGATGCAGCCACCACTATGCTTGAAATATGGAGAGTGGTACACAGTAATGTGTTGTAATGGATTTTCTCCAAACATAACACTTTGTATTCAGAACAAAATGTTTTTTGCAGTGTTACGTTAGTGCCTTGTTGCAAACAGGATGCTTTGGAACATTTTTATTCTGTACAGGCTTCCTTATTTTCACTCTGTCAATTAGGTTAGTATTGTGGAATAACTACAATGTTGTTAATCCATCCTCAGTTTTCTCCTGTCACAGCCATTGAACTCTGTAACTGTTTTAAAGTCACTATTGGCCTCATGGTGAATTCCCTGAGCGGTTTCCTTCCTTCTCATCTACCAATAGGTGCCCTTTGCGAGTCATTGGAAAGTCTCCTTGGTCTTTGTGGTTGAATCTGTTTGAAATACACTGCTGGACTGAGGGACCTTACAGATAATTGTATGTGTGGGGTACAGAGATGAGGTAGTCATTCGAACATAATGTTAAACACTATTATTGCCCACATGTCCATGCAACTCATTATTATTTTACCGTTGAACGTATTTAGGCTTGCCATAACAAATGGGTTGAATACTTATTGACTCAAGACATTTCAGCTTTTCATTTTTAATTCATTTGTAAAAAATTCTAAAAACGTATTTCCACTTTGACATTATGTTTTTTTTTGTGTAGGCCAGTGAAAAAAAATGGAAATGTAATCCATTTAAATGCAGGCTGTCACATAACAACATGTGGAAAAAGTCAAGGGGTGTGAACACTTTCTGATGTAGATACATGGTTTGTTTAGACCAGGATTGTTTTCTAACTTGTTTTGTCATTTCATCCCTCCTCTCTTGTCTTTCTGTTCTGTCTTTATCATTACCCCTTCCTCAGGACCAGATGGAGAGGAACCGTTTCTCAATCTACTGGAAGCAGGTGGGACCCATTGTCTTCGGCTCCTTCTGCCTCTTCATCTTCGACATGTGTGAGAGGTGAGGCTGAAACACACACACAACACAGTTCCTTCGTCACACTGTCAAAATAAAACGTATTTAAAGGTTACCGCCACAATTCTGCAGGGACCATTTCTGACATATTTGTTTTTCCCACCAGGGGAGTCCAGTTGAAGAACCCTTTCTACAGTATTTGGGCTTCCGACGTGGGGACTGAGTTGGCTGTATCCTTTTGATTACTCCTTACCTTAAGTGGACAGACCAAGGGAGACTAAACTAGGGATGAATTATCCCTTGTAAGTCTGAAAAAGAATGTGTCCATGCCATTGTACTGTATATCCCCATTTTAAGCTCCCAGTGTATCCTATAATTATAATTTATCTGATCTCTCTTTCATTTCATTGTAACATAGGGACAGATTGTATGTCAATATTTGACAGAGACATACTAACATTAATCAGAGCACGCCTCCTCCATCAGTCACAGGCTGTCCCTGAGGTCCTCTCCACTGTGTTCTGTGCTGCAGTGAGGATGGAGGAATAATTCAGTGTTGCTGTCAGTGCCTACTCCTGCCTTGGGCCATCTCTCTCCTGGGTCTCCCCTCTGCCTCCTCACTGTGTGTGGAGGAGAGCTGCAGTAGGGAAACCCACAGGCCTAGTTGATGCAAGATTCATCAGTACACCCCCCCCCCCCCCCCCATCAATAACTTGTGGCAGCAAGAGTCTCTTGGTGCATCTCGCTCTCTCCTTCACTCTTGCTCTCTCCCTCTAGCATTCCCTCTTTCTCTCCCACGCTCTTTCTTTCTTGCTCACTCTCCAGTCCAGTGGAAGAAGAAAGCCCTGTGAAAAGACAGCCATCTCTATCAAGCCTGGAAGTAGAACATGGCATATTCACTAGCTTTTAGAACCTTTCAGCTGAGGAGGTTTCTATTTTTTTCTACTTAGTGTTCCTAGAATTAAGCTGTCCGAAGCCAGCCATTGGTTTCTATCAGTCTGTTGGAAAATGTACGTTGAGCTAAGGCTGGGCGTCCATATCTAAAGTAAGGGCAGCGATTCCCAAATGATGGCGCTTCAGTTATGTTCGGTCCTGTTTCTCTGTTACAGTTAGTCTTTCAGTTTGTTGAGTAATATCGTAACGATTTATTAAGCTATGCTCTATTAGCATCACCATGCTAGTTCCCTCCTTGACTGAGGTTGATAACAGATGGCGTTCATCATCGTGGCGGGGATCTGTGCCTGTCTGTACTTCCTCTTCCTGTGCTTCATGGTGTTCCAAGTGTTCCGCAACATCAGTGGGAAGAGGTCCTCCCTGCCCGCCATGTCCAAGGCAAGACGCCTACACTATGAGGTGTGTGTCTGTTTTTGTGTGTATACATTTGTGCACCTAAAAGTGCGTTTTTATACATATATTTGTTGTGTTTTTTCTGCCTGTCTAAATTTGTGTGCGTGTGTACCGGGTGTATCTAAATATGTGTCTTCTCAAGAAATTTCACGTGTGTGTTTCCTTTTTCATGGAAAGTAATAGTAACTTTAATCTTCCTCTCTCAGGGCCTAATCTTCCGGTTCAAGTTCCTCATGTTGGTCACTCTGACCTGTGCTGCCATGACAGTCATCTTCTTCATCATCAGTCAGGTAAGTTCTGTCTTAGTGTGACTCCAGGGGTATCCCAGAATCCTCTGGAGAGGATTAGGTTTTTAAGCATGTTCATTAGGGCATTCCGTAGCTAAATGTTTTAAAACCGGAAAAATGAAAACAAGTGTTTCTTATTGGACAAGTTCAGGGTTTCATGGTGTTTTTGCTTACGTTTTGTACCTACTGAACACACCGCATATTGTGGGTGTCTAGGTGAACGAGGGCCACTGGCACTGGGGAGACTACACGGTGCAGGTGAACAGTGCCTTCTTCACGGGGATCTACGGCATGTGGAACCTCTACGTGTTCGCCATCATGTTCCTGTATGCTCCCTCACACAAACGCTACGGAGACGAGCAGTCCAGCGGTGAGTACAACTAACATCTGCCTCTAATGGTCAACTCTGTCAGTAGGTCAAACATTTTATTTAAGTGCATCATAATAGTCTCAATAAACTTTACTGTACAGAGAAAATAATAACACACAGCAGTGTCTCCTTTTGTGACGATTAAGTTAAAATATCTAAAAGTTAAATATCTTACATTTTAATTTTTATGTAATTTTTAAATGTATCTTGAAATAAGATAAACCTTTTTAGATTAAATTAAGCAAAATTATCTGCCAATGACTTTATATATGGTAAGTAAAAAATAGAAATAAAACACTAATTTTATCACAGAATGTAAGATATTTATTAGGCTTGCTTAGATTTCCCTTTTTGCATTGCACAGTTTCAAAAGACAAAGTAATAAAGTATGCCGTCTTTCGTGAAGCAGAAGGCATGAAATGAGGAAAAAGTTCAATAAAAGCTGTCTTAAAAAGTTTGCACATTGCGGGGAACTCAGACAAAATAAGTCCAAGTCAATGCTTTTCAACAGAAACAGAAATTAAGGTTTTCTTATTGACTTCAGGTTCAGGTTGCCCCTCCTCAGGGCCGGTTCCAGGCATAAACAACATAAGTGGTCGCTTAGGGCCCCTGGCCGCTAGGGGGCCCTTGACCCCAAAAAATTATACAGTGCCTTCAGAACCGGACCTGAGGAGGGTCCCCCCGTGTGGTTCTGGGATTTTTGCTCACCGTTCTTGTGATCATTTTGACCCCAACGGGGTGAGATCTTGCGCAGAGCCCCAGATCGAGGGAGATTATCAGTGGTCTTGTATGTCTTCCATTTCCTAATAATTGCTCCCACAGTTGATTTCTTCAAACCAAGCTGCTTACCTATTGCAGATTCAGTCTTCCCAGCCTGGTGCAGGTCTACAATTTTGTTTCTGGTGTCCTTTGACAGCTCTTTGGTCTTGGCCATAGTGGAGTTTGGAGTGTGACTGTTTGAGGTTGTGGACAGGTGTCTTTTATACTGATAACAAGTTCAAACCGGTGCCATTAATACAGGTAACGAGTGGAGGACAGAGGAGCCTCTTAAAGAAGAAGTTACAGGTCTGTGAGAGCCAGAAATCTTGCTTGTTTGTAGGTGACCAAATACTTATTTTCCACCATAATTTGCAAATAAATTCATAAAAAAATCCTACAATGTGATTTTCTGGAGAAAAAAAATCTAAATTTGTCTGTCATAGTTGACGTGTACCTATGATGAAAATTACAGGCCTCTCTCATCTTTTTAAGTGGGAGAACTTGCACAATTGGTGGCTGACTAAATACTTTTTTCCCCCACTGTATGTTAGAATCACCTTTGGCAGCGATTACAGCTGTGTGTCTTTCTGGGTAAATCTTAAGAGCTTTGCACACCTGGATTGTATAATATTTGGCCATTTATTTTCAAAATTCTTCAAGATCTGTCAAATTGGTTGTTGATCATTTCTAGACAACCATTTTCAAGTCTTGCTATTTAATTTCAAGCAGATTTAAGTCAACTGTAATTCGGCCACTCAGGAACATTCACTGACTTCTTGGTAAGCAACTCCAGTGTAGATTTGGCCTTGTGTTTGAAGTTATTGTCCTGCTGAAAGGTGAATTCATCTCCCAGTGTCTGGTAGAAAGCAGGCAACCAGGTTTTCCTCCAGGATTTTGCCTGTGCTTAGCTCCATTCCTTTTATTTTTTATCCTGAAAAACTCCCCAGTCCTTAACGATTAACGAAGTATACCAATAACATGAGTGGTACTCCATATTGTGTTGGATTGGATTTTCCCCAAACAGAACACTTTGTATTCAGGACAAACTGTTAATTGCTTTGCCACATTTGCAGTATTACTTTAATTTGCCTTGTTGCAAACAGGATGCATGTTTTGGTAATTTTTTATTCTGTACAGGCTTCCTTATTTTCACTTTGTCAATTAAGTTATTATTGTGGAGTAACTACAATGTTGTTAATCCATCCTCGGCTTTCTCCTATCACAGTCATTAAACTCTGTTTTAAAGTCTCTATTGGCCTCATGGTGAATTCCCTGAGTGGTTTCCTTCCTCTCCGGCAACTGAGTTAGGAAGGAAGCCTGTATCTTTGTAGTGACTGGGTGTATTGATACACCATCTAAAGTGTAATTAATAACGTCACCATGCTCAAAGGGATATTAAATGTCTGCTTTTTTATTTTTACCCATCTACCAATAGGTGGCATTCTTTTCGAGGCATTGGAAACCTCCCAGGTCTTTGTGGTTGAAATTCACTGCTCAACTGAGGAACCTTACAGATAATTGTAAGTGTGGGAACAGAGATGAGGTAGCCATTCAAAAATAATGTTAAACACTATTATTGCACATGGAGTGAGTCCATGCTACTTATTATGTGACTTGTTAAGCACATTTTTACTCCTGAACTTATTTAGGCTTGCCATAACAAAGGGGTTGAATACTTATTGACTCAAGACATTTCAGCCTTTCATTTTTAATTAATTTCAAAAAATGTCAAAAACATAATTCCACTTTGACATCAAATCAAACTTTATTTGTCACATACACGTATTTAGCAGATGTAATAGCGGGTGTAGCAAAATGCTTGTGCTTCTAGCTCCGACAGTGCAGTAATATATAACAAGTAATATCTAACAATTTCACAACATATACCCAATACACACAAAACTAGTAAGGAATGGAATTTAAGAAAATATACATTTAGTTGAAGTCGGAAGTTTACATACACTTAGGTTGGAGTCATTAAAACTCGTTTTTCAACCACTCCACAAATGTCTTGTTAACAAACTATAGTTTTGGCAAGTCAGTTAGGACATCTACTTTCTGCATGACACAAGTAATTTTTCCAACAATTGTTTACAGACAGATTATTTCACTTATAATTCACTGTATCACAATTCCAGTGGTTCAGAAGTTTACATACACTAAGTTGACTGTGCCTTTTAAACAAAATGATGTCATGGCTTTAGAAGCTTCTGATAGGCTAATTTACATCATTTGAGTCAATTGGAGGTGTACCTGTGGATGTATTTCAAGGCCTACCTTCAAACTCAGTGCCTCTTTGCTTGACATCATGGAAAAATCAAAATAAATCGGCCAAGACCTAAGAAAAAAAATGGTAGACCTCCACAAGTCTGGTTCATCCTTGGGAGCAATTTCCAAACGCCTGAAGGTACCACGTTCATCTGTACAAACAATAGTACGCAAGTATAAACACCATGGGACCACACAGCCGTCATACCACTCAGGAAGGAGACGCGTTCTGTCTCCTAGAGATGAACGTACTTTGATGCGAAAAGTGCAAATAAATCCCAGAACAACAGCAAAGGACCTTGCAGCATCATGCTGTGGGGGTGCTTTGCTGCAGGAAAAATAGATTGCATCATGAGGAAGGAAAATTATGTGGATATATTGAAGCAACATCTCAAGACATCAGTCAGGAAGTTAAAGCTTGGTCGCAAATGGGTCTTCCAAATGGACAATGACTCCAAGCATACTTCCAAAGTTGTGGCAAAATGGCTTAAGGACAACAAATTCAAGGTATTGGAATGGCCATCACAAAGCCCTGACCTCAATCCTATAGAAAATGTGTGGGCAGAACTGAAAAAGTGTGTGCGAGCAAGGAGGCCTACAATCCTAACTCAGTTACACCAGCTCTGTCAGGAGGAATGGGCCAAAATTCACCCAACTTATTGTGGGAAGCTTGTGGAAGGCTACCCAAAACGTTTGACCCAAGTTAAACAATTTAAAGGCAATGCTACCAAATACTAATTGAGTGTATATAAACTTCTGACCCACTGGGAATGTGATGAAAGAAACAAAAGCTGAAATAAATAATTCTCTCTACTATTATCCTGACATTTCACATACCTAAAATAAAGTGACCTAAAACAGGGAATTTTTACTGGGATTAAATGTCAGCAATTGTGAAAAACTGAGTTTAAATGTATTTGGCTAAGGTGTACAGTGAGGGGAAAAAAGTATTTGATCCCCTGCTGATTTTGTACGTTTGCCCACTGACAAAGACATGATCAGTCTAATTTTAATGGTAGGTTTATTTGAACAGTGAGAGACAGAATAACAACAAAAAAATCCAGAAAAACGCATTTTTATAAATTGATTTGCATTTTAATGAGGGAAATAAGTATTTGACCCCTCTGCAAAGCATGACTTAGTACTTGGTGGCAAATCCCTTGTTGGCAATCACAGAGGTCAGACGTTTCTTGTAGTTGGCCACCAGGTTTGCACACATCTCAGGAGGGATTTTGTTCCACTCCTCTTTGCAGATCTTCTCCAAGTCATTAAGGTTTCGAGGCTGATGTTTGGCAACTCGAACCTTCAGCTCCCTCCACAGATTTTCTATGGGATTAAGGTCTGGAGACTGGCTAGGCCACTCCAGGACCTTAATGTGCTTCTTCTTGAGCCACTCCTTTGTTGCCTTGGCTGTGTGTTTTGGGTCATTGTCATGCTGGAATACCCATCCACGACCCATTTTCAATGCCCTGGCTGAGGGAAGGAGGTTCTCACCCAAGATTTGATGGTACATGACCCCGTCCATCGTCCCTTTGATGCAGTGAAGTTGTCCCGTCCCCAAAGCATAATGTTTCCACCTCCATGTTTGACGGTGGGGATGGTGTTCTTGGGGTCATAGGCAGCATTCCTCCTCCTCCAAACACGGCGAGTTGAGTTGATGCCAAAGAGCTCGATTTTGGTCTCATCTGACCACAATACTTTCACCCAGTTCTCCTCTGAATCATTCAGATGTTCATTGGCAAACTTCAGACGGCCCTGTATATGTGCTTTCTTGAGCAGGGGGACCTTGCGGGCGCTGCAGAATTTCAGTCCTTCACGGCGTAGTGTGTTACCAATTGTTTTCTTGGTGACTATGGTCCCAGCTGCCTTGAGATCATTGACAAGATCCTCCCGTGTAGTTCTGGGCTGATTCCTCACCGTTCTCATGATCATTGCAACTCCACGAGGTGAGATCTTGCATGGAGCCCCAGGCCGAGGGAGATTTGTTTTTCTTCCATTTGCGAATAATCGCACCAACTGTTGTCACCTTCTCACCAAGCTGCTTGGCGATGGTAGCCTTGTGTAGGTCTACAATCTTGTCCCTGACATCCTTGGAGAGCTCTTTGGTCTTGGCCATGGTGGAGAGTTTGGAATCTGATTGATTGATTGATTGATTGATTCTGTGGATAGGTGTCTTTTATACAGGTAACACGCTGAGATTAGGAGCACTCCCTTTAAGAGTGTGCTCCTAATCTCAATTCGTTACCTGTATAAAAGACACCTGGGAGCCAGAAATCTTTCTGATTGAGAGGGGGTCAAATACTTATTTCCCTCATTTAAAATGCAAATCAATTTATAACATTTTTGACATGCGTTTTTCTGGATTTTTTTGTTGTTATTCTGTCTCTCACTGTTCAAACAAACCTACCATTAAAATTATAGACTGATAATTTCTTTGTCAGTGGGCAAACGTACAAAATCAGCAGGGGATCAAATACTTTTTCCCCTCACTGTATGTAAACTTCTGACTTCAACTGTATATGGACAAGCAATGACAGAGCGGCATGGACTAAGATACAGTAGAAAATTATAGAATAGAATACAGTATATACAGTGGGGGAAAAAAGTATTTAGTCAGCCACCAATTGTGCAAGTTCTCCCACTTAAAAAGATGAGGCCTGTAATTTTCATCATAGGTACACGTCAACTATGATAGACAAATTGAGAAAAAAAATCCAGAAAATCACATTGTAGGATTTTTAATGAATTTATTTGCAAATTATGGTGGAAAATAAGGATTTGGTCACCTACAAACAAGCAAGATTTCTGGCTCTCACAGACCTGTAACTTCTTCTTTAAGAGGCTCCTCTGTCCTCCACTCGTTACCTGTATTAATGGCACCTGTTTGAACTTGTTATCAGTGTAAAAGTCACCTGTCCACAACCTCAAACAGTCACACTCCAAACTCCACTATGGCCAAGACCAAAGAGCTGTCAATGGACACCAGAAACAAAATTGTAGACCTGCACCAGGCTGGGAAGACTGAATCTGCAATAGGTAAGTAGCTTGGTTTGAAGAAATCAACTGTGGGAGCAATTATTAGGAAATGGAAGACATACAAGACCACTGATAATCTCCCTCGATCTGGGGCTCCACGCAAGATCTCACCCCGTGGGGTCAAAATGATCACAAGAATGGTGAGCAAAAATCCCAGAACCACACGGGGGGACCTAGTGAATGACCTGCAGAGAGCTGGGACCAAAGTAACAAAGCCTACCATCAGTAACACACTACGCCGCCAGGGACTCAAATCCTGCAGTGCCAGACGTGTCCCCCTGCTTAAGCCAGTACATGTCCAGGCCCGTCTGAAGTTTGCTAGAGTGCATTTTGATGATCCAGAAGAGGATTGGGAGAATGTCATATGGTCAGATGAAACCAAAATAGAACTTTTTGGTAAAAACTCAACTCATCGTGTTTGGAGGACAAAGAATGCTGAGTTGCATCCAAAGAACACCATACCTACTGTGAAGCATGGGGGTGGAAACATCATGCTTTGGGGCTGTTTTTCTGCAAAGGGGCCAGGACGACTGATCCGTGTAAAGGAAAGAATGAATGGGGCCATGTATCGTGAGATTTTGAGTGAAAACCTCCTTCCATCAGCAAGGGCATTGAAGATGAAACGTGGCTGGGTCTTTCAGCATGACAATGATCCCAAACACACCGCCCGGGCAACGAAGGAGTGGCTTCGTAAGAAGCATTTCAAGGTCCTGGAGTGGCCTAGCCAGTCTCCAGATCTCAACCCCATAGAAAATCTTTGGAGGGAGTTGAAAGTCCTGTGTTACCCAGCGACAGCCCCAAAACATCACTGCTCTAGAGGAGATCTGCATGGAGGAATGGGCCAAAATACCAGCAACAGTGTGTGAAAACCTTGTGAAGACTTACAGAAAACGTTTGACCTTTGTCATTGCCAACAAAGGGTATATAACATAGTATTGAGAAACTTTTGCTATTGACCAAATACTTATTTTCCACCATAATTTGCAAATAAATTCATTAAAAATCCTACAATGTGATTTTCTTGATTTTTTTTCTCTCATTTTGTCTGTCATAGTTGACGTGTACCTATGATGAAAATTACAGGCCTCTCTCATCTTTTTAAGTGGGAGAACTTGCACAATTGGTGGCTGACTAAATACTTTTTTCCCCCACTGTACATATGAGATGAGTAGTGCAAGATATGTAAACATTATTAAAGTGACTGTAAACATTATTAAAGTGACTAGTGTTCCATTTCTTAAAGTGGCCAGTGATTTCAATAGGCAGCAGCAGCCTCATGTGCTAGTGATGGCTATTTAACAGTCTGATGGCCTTGAGATAAAAGCTGTTTTACATTCTCTTGGTCCCAGCTTTGATGCACCTGTACTGACCTCGCCTTCTGGATGATAGCGGGGTGAACAGGCAGTGGCTCGGGTGGTTGATGTCCTTGATGATCTTTTTGGCCTTCCTTTGACAACGGGTGCTGTATGTGTCTTGGAGGCGGGTAGTTTGCCCCTGATAATGCGTTCGGCAGACCGCACCACCCTCTGGAGAGCCCTGCGGTTGCGGGCGGTGCAGTTGCCGTACCAGGTGGTGATACAGCCCGACAGGATGCTCTTAATTGTGCATCTGTAAAAGTTTGTGGGTTTTAGGTGCCAAGACGAATTTCTTCAGCCTCCTGAGGTTGAAGAGGCTCTGTTGCGCTTTCTTCACCACACTGTCTGCGTGGGTGGACCATTTCAGTTTGTCGGTGATGTGTACGCCAAGGAACTTGAAGCTTTCCACCTTTTCCACTGCGGTCCCGTCGATGTGGATAGGGGGGGTGCACCCTCTGCTGTTTCCTGAAGTCCACGATCATCTCCTTTGTTTTGTTGACGTTGAGTGAGAGGTTATTTTCCTGGCACCACACCTCCTCCCTGTAGGCGGTCTCATCATTGTTGGTAATCAAGCCTACTACTGTTGTGTCGTCTGCCAACTTGATGATTGAGTTGGAGGCGTGCTTGGCCACACAGTCATGGGTGAACAGGGAGTACAGGAGGGGGCTGAGCATGCACCCTTGTGTTGAGGATCAGCGAAGTGGAGATGTTGTTTCCTACCTTCACCACCTGGGGGCGGCCCGTCAGGAAGTCCAGGACCCAGTTGCACAGGGCCTCGAGCTTGATGATGAACTTTGAGGGTACTATGGTGTTGAATGCTGAGCTATAGTCAATGAACAGCATTCTCACATAGGTATTTCTCTTGTCCAGATTGGATAAGGCAGTGTGCAGTGTGATGTGGATTGCATTGTCTGGGGATCTATTGGGGCGTTAAGCAAATTGAAGTGGGTCTAGGGTGACAGGTAAGGTAGAGGTCATATGATCCTTGACTAGTCTCTCAAAGCACTTCATGATGACAGAGGTGAGTGCTACAGGGCGATAGTCATTTAGTTCAGTTACCTTTGCTTTCTTGGGTACAGGAACAATGGTGGCCATCTTGAAGCATGTGCGAACAGCAGACTGGGAAAGGAAGAGATTGAATATGTCCATAAACACACCAGCCAGCTGGTTTGCGCATGCTCTGAGGATGCCGTCTGGGCCGGCAGCCTTGCAGGGGTTAACATGCTTAAATGTCTTAATCACGTCGGCCACGGAGAAGGAGAGGCCACAGTCCTTGGTAGTGGGCCTCGTCAGTGGCACTGTGTTCTCCTCAAAGCGGGCAAAGAATGTGTTTAGCTTGTCTGGAAGCAAGACGTTGGTGTCGGCAACGTGGCTGGTTTTCTTTTTGTAGTCCGTGATTGTCTGTAGACCCTGCAACATACCTCTCGTGTCTGAGCTGTTGAATTGCGACTCCACTTTGTCTCTATACTGATGTTTTGCCAGTTGAATTGCTTTGTGGAGTGAGTAGCTACACTGTTTGTATTCAGCCATATTCCCAGTCACCTTGCCATGTTTGAATGCGGTGGTTCGCACTTTCAGATTGGCGCGAATGCTGCCATCTATCCACTGTTTCTGGTTAGGGTAGGTTTTAATAGTCACAATGGGCACAACATCACCTATACATTTCCTGATAAACTATGTCACCGTTTCAGTGTATTCGTCAAAATTATTTTTGGAAGCTACCCGGAACATATCCCAGTCCGCATGATCAAAACAATCTTGAAGCATGGATTCCAATTGGTCAGACCAGCGTTGAATAGTCCTTAGCATGGGTATTTCCTGTTTGAGTTTCTGCCTATAGGAAGGGAGGAGCAAAATGGAGTTGTGGTCAGATTTGCCGAAAGGAGGGCGCGGGAGGGCCTTATAACCATCCCGGAAGTTCAAATAGCAATGGTCGAGGATTTTGGCAGCGCGAGTACAACAGTCGATATGTTGATAGAACTTCGGCAGCCTAGTCCTCAAATTTGCTTTGATAAAATCCCCGGCTACAATAAATGCAGCCTCAGGATATGTGGTTTCCAGTTTGCATAAACTCCAGTGAAGTTCTTTGAGGGCCGTTGTGGTATCGGCTTGAGGGGGGATATACACGGCCGTGAATATAACAAAATAAAATTATCTTGGGAGATAATACGGTCGGCATTTGATTGTGAGATATTCTAGGTCGAGTGAACAAAAGGACTCGAGTTCCTGTATGTTACTACAATTACACCATGAGTCGTTAATCATGAAACACACACCTCCGCCCTTCTGCTACCCGGAGAGATATTTATTCCTGTCTCTGCGATGAACTGAGAACCCCTCTGGCTGGACCGATTTCGACAGAATATCCCAAGAGAGCCATGTTTCCGTGAAACAAAGTATGTTACAGGCCTTGATGTCTCTCTGGAAAGAAATCCTTGCCCGGAGGTCGTCGATCTTGTTAACCAAAGACTGAACATTAGCGAGTAGTATACTTGGAAGTGGTGGGTGGTGTGCGCGACTTCTAAGTCGAACCAGCATGCCGCTCCGAGTGCCTCTCCTCCACCGGCGATGTTTTGGGTCAGCCGCTGGAATCAGTGCAGTTGCCCTGGGGAGAGCAAACAAAGGAACTGCTTCGGGAAAGTCGTATTCCTAGTTGTAATGCTGTTGAGTTACCGCCGCTCTGATATCCAATTGTTTTCCCCGGTTGTATGTAAATACAAAACACTTTCTGAGCTAATAATGTAAAAAAAGAATACATAAGAAAACAAAATACTGCAACGTTTCCTAAGAGCTAGTCGCGATGCCGCCATCTTCGTCGGCACCAGGTCCATATGGGGTATTGTGTGTAGGCCAGTGACGACAAGATCTCAATTTAATCAATTTTTAAAATTCCGGCTGTAACAACAAAATGTGGAAAAAGTAAAGGGGTGTGAATGATTTCTGTAGGCACTGTATATATTTTTTAGGGGGGGAACTCGTTATGGTCTCAACTTAGTATTGAGAGTAAGAATAGTAGAATACACCAGGTGCAATTTCGAAATGTGGTTGTGCCTCAGCAGTTTTTCTCTTATGTCAGTCACTGACAGTTACTCAATTAGCCCTGTCAGCTAACAATTTTTTTGATTGCCAGCTATCTAAACTTGTAGTAATCATGGCCAAATACCGACCGGGGACACGTTCCCAGGGGCCCTGACCTCCAGGGGCCCCCATTGATTTTGTTAGTCCTTCTCACTCAGATATCTTATTAACATGGCATAAGTCATTACAAAAGCTATAGAATTGCAGGAAATGTGTTTTAAAACCGCAAAAAAGTATCTCCACCCCATGGCAAAATGGGTAGAATTGCATGGAATGTGTTCAACCCCATGGCAAAATGTGTAGAATAGCAGGACATTAACTTTTAAAAATACCAATTTCTCACCACTGTCAAGAGGGGGGACACCTAAAATATTTTGCTGCGAGGTGGGGGGCCCCCACAACCAAATCTCACTTCGGGCTAGAGCCGGCCCTGCCCCTCCCTGTTTCAGTTTAGTTTCCTTCCATTTAGTGCCTAATGAGCACAAATAAGATGACCCAGATGTACTGCTGTCTGTGTATACTGTACTGATGTTGTGTTGGTCTCTGTGCAGGAGACGCAGGAGCCAGTGGAGAGGACATCCAGCTGACCACCACCATCACCCACGTGGACGGACCCACCGAGATCTACAAGATGATGGGCAAGGAGGCCCAAGAGTAGCCTCCCTTTCCCTGGACTTCAAACCACCTACAAACACCCCTCCCTCAAACAGTGACTGTGCTTCCTTTAACCCTATTTCCCAATGTCCCCCTCGCTGTCCCAAAAGTTCAAAAGCAACTTTATCTGTAGCCCTTTGGTCCTTTCATTTCATTGCAGACATGGGGCCAGATTGTATATACATTTTTGACATTTGACAGTCTGTTAACTATCAGTGTTTGTAATGTTGCTGTTGTTGTTGCACAACAGTACTCTTATGAAGTCCAGGTTGTGAAAAGCTGCTTAGAGGTGGAGGAGTGGAAGGACGTAGCACTCCATCTGGTGGTCATAAGAGGTAGTTGGGGAGGGAACAAAACACTCCAGGTAGACGTTGTCATCCCTCAAATCCTAAACAAACCCATTAGGGGTCAAGTGCAAATCTGAACATAGATCAGTGTCCAGTGGCAACGACATCAAACTACAGGAAAAACATTGTGGGCTTTCAAGGCATTATATTGTGGCGTAACTGGTTGCCTCACTGAAGACAACATTACTTGGTTCTTTAGAGAGAACTACATTTGGATGACTGCTGTTTTTGGCACTCCACCTCTGCAGTTTTAAATTTAAATAACCAGTAGGACATAAGTGTATGTAGATGCTTCATGGTACAAGGTCCAAGATGACCACTTTCAGAAGATCAGTCAAAAGGAAGCATATCTCCGCAAGTTGTCAGTAATATCTTTGTCTTTTTTGTCACTTCTGTCCACACTCACGTTCACCAGTACACATCCATGGAACTTTTTAGACTACTGGGTTCTCTTGTCTATCACTCTCCCAAGTGGGGGATACCTTTTTGTATTGTGGGGGGGGGGAAATTCCAAACCACAGGGCCTTTCTGGGAAACACCAAGTTCATTATGTTACGATGTAGATATATATTTTATAAAGTGCTTATTTTCATCTGTATGAAAGATTTGCATATGCTGTATCACTTACTCTCTGTTGGCAAAAAAATAAATAAAAAATTGAGATTCGAAGATGACTGTATGACGTGGTAGTGTAGTAGTTTTGTGCTTTTTATGCTAATTTAAATAAAACATTTACTTTGTCTAGTTTTGGAATATTTTCAAAGTAGATTCACAAGTTGTTGCAGGGAATTTACTTGTGGTCTAAGAAAAATGCAACTTAACTAGCATTTCTATTGTAGGCTATTTGTTTGTTTTATTTCTTATTGTATGTGCTTACTGTTATTAGACAATACTTAGTTTCAATGAGAAACAACTCATTTGCAAGGAAATTACAAGTTTACTGAAAATTTTTCTGTTCCTAAATAAATGGAAATCATTCCTCTTTTGCTTGCAGGAGTTTATCTTCTGCCTTAGCAAATCAGTGAGCCTGAAGAAGGGAAAAAAACGTTATCCTCAACTTCTGTGTTGCTACAATATTACAGAATTGAAATACAGAGTAAAAGTAGAACGGAGTGACTAGTAGTGCTTCCAGGCTTCTTGTCCTTTCCTCAGCCTCCTCAGTGCTCCACGGAAGCAGCCAGTTCCTCCAGCCTTCTTCCCACCTGTAGCAGTGGAGAGGCTGGTGGAGGACAGTTCTTTCTCTGATTCCTTGGTCTCCCGTTGAAGGAGCATAGTGTTTCCACCGGTGGTCAGCATCTCATCACTGATGGGCTGCTGCCGTGGGGTCTCAGCCAGTAGCATGCCATCGTGAGGGTCCACAGAGCTCACTGACCGCTCTCTGGGGGGAGATGGAGGCGGGGTTTTCTCTGTGTTGGAGAGGTTTAGAAAATACCACAGTCGACTGCAGTTACAGCACTTACTGCAGTTTTAAAATTGAAATATTTTTTTGTAAGGGTGTGACTGAAACAGGAACCAACTTTGCACATTCATGTATTTGTATTTATTTTATTTAACCTTTATTTAACTAGGCAAGGCAGTTAAGAACAAATTCTTATTGGATATGTAGAAATGAATGTGATATTTGAGTCTCTCGCACCAACTGCAGATATACTGCACTCTGACTGCAATCTTTTTTCGTAAGGGCATCTTTGGTCACGTTCGCATTGGTCAAACAAAAGTACCCTAATGATTGGTTGACAATAGTGCCTCCCACAATGCAGGCGGCTGCAAGTTGTAGCTGGTAAGGAGCAAGAGCAGAAAATTGCAGTCGATCATTTATTACCTTTGATCACATGGTTTTTCGAAAGTTCATGCAGTCGACATGTAGGCGCAAATCTGACAGTTTTTATCCCCATAATGGCTCAGACTTTGAAAGGCAGTGACCATCTTGACAAAAGTGATCCGCTCGAACGAGCCCATTTGCCTTTTGATGGTAAATTGAAACCACTCAATATCGCCATCTGCCGGTCTTTGGGCTAATATGAAGTATAACCTAGTACAGGGTTCCCCCAACTGGAGGCCCGCGGGTGGTTTTATTTGGCCCCCCAAGTTTCCGAGCAAAAAAAAAACATTTGGTAATTTTTTTTTTTTTTTTAATGGATGTTGGACATAATAGACAGAAAAAAAAGCTCTGACGAAGGCCTTGAGGCCGATATGTAAAGCTTATTAAAGAGCAGTGTGCGGGTTTCATATATAAAAAAAATATATATAGATTTCAACTGCTACCATGCACCTGCAAAAAAGATAGCTCAGATATGCGAGTGCCTTATGAAGTTTGGACATAATAGACTAAAAAAAACCAGAAAATCAGCTCCAATTGATTTTAATTTAAGAAATCTGTTCACAAGTATTCCCACGCATAATAGAGAGAATCGTGATCGTATCCAAATGTAATCAAGGTTTGAAATGATTAGGTTTTAGTCAAACATATCTGTTTGGGCTTCTTGCGGTCAATTTGCCGTCTCCAAATGATTTGTAATTATCTTCCGGCCCCCCGACCAATCCGCTCAAGAAAAAATCGTCCCGCAGCTTAATCTAGTTGATGATCCCTGGTCTAGTACATACTGTATAGAAACGCTTTGCACAGACAGAGGGCGCCTGGGAGGCACCAAGAAATGAAGGAGCAGAGACTGCAAAACAACAAATTCTCAAAACACCCGCTAGTGTTCCCACTGTTCTGTGACTCCACTTCTCTATCCGGCTGGGTTCGTTCGTTAGTTTTCGTCACGAAGCGGAGGAGAGAGTGTAGCCTAGTCATACGGGCAAGTAGGTGGAGAAAATAAAAAATAAACGATACTAACGATAAGCGACAGCCAACACTGTGAGAAAGTAAGTGGCACCAGTTGGCAGTCCCAAAGACCGTCGTTTGATCTGCTTTTCATAGCTGTCAACTGTTATTGAGTGAGGTCTCCTCCTAGTTGGTGACGGATACAGCAGGCGACACGGGGAGACCAGCCTGTATTGCCCTCGCCAGGTAAGTGTGTCGTGTCAGTGTACCTTGGAAGTCACAAGGGTTAATCAATAGGCCTATAAAACACATTCACCGTTTTACGCTCTTCAAAACGTTCAGAAAGATAACTTGCCATTCAAATGTATGTATTTGTAGGCTACTCCGGTGGCACCCATATCGACAACATAAAATATTGACATTGTTACCAATTTTACTTACATTGGGACAGAACGTGTCACATTAGTAGCGTGCGTAATAGGCTGTGCGCATATCGTAAGTGCATTATGTGGTTATTACCGTGATAATTGCAGGCTATGCCTTTGGGTGTCGACGGTAATCGCCCTTCTGACCAAGAACGAATTGTAATACGCCTATTGTGAAATAGGAACAGCTGAAGCACAACATACAGTGGCAGTATTTCCATTCATGTAGGCTACTTATCGTTAGGCCTTCCAGAGACTGGTCGACTTGTTCGTGCAACAAGTCATAGGCTACCTGTTCATATCAATCCTTCTCCATACATATAGATGTGACAGGCCAGGCACACACAGTGGGCTTGAGGAGTGGGAATATTTTTTTAATACCACCTTTAATGGAAACCTTCCTTTCTATCTGAATAAACATTGTTACCCACATGCATGCAGTAGATAATCAAATATGGCAATACTGTAGTAAACCAGTTACAAAGTGAGGATGTTCTATTCCTACTATTTCAATGAGAAGTCGAGCAACCATTAGGCTACATGGCATATGACAGCTCTCTGGCCAGATTCCACATTTTTATCCCGATAGAAGAAAGTGCATTATTGCATGTTCTTGGCTCCTGAAGGTCAGCTTGACCCACCTGTGCCTTCAGTTCTGTACAATGTGTAACTTATTGTAGCCAGTGGCACCTACTGGCCGCTATGAGATGAGGTGTGCGATTTGCGTAAATACCTGAAGCGAAACGTTCAGGGAAAGAGTGTTGTTTCCGCCCGGGAGGACAAGGGACAGTGCACATTCCCGGTTCACTCCGTGGGAGTATCTCAAATGGTTTTGCTCGCCTCCTCTCCTCCTTTTGAAAAATGTCAAAGTAATCGAGGACAGGAGGAAAGGAAACGTGGTAACAATTCACTGGGCACCCACTGGTTGAATCAACGTTGTTTCCCATTTCAATGAAATGACGTGGAACCAACGTTGAATAGATGTGGAATTGACGTCTGTGCCCAGTGGGAAATGGCTTTTAAGAAATGAGAACCTCCTTCCCCACTTGTGTGTCATCAGGCAAATGGTGTTTACAGGGGTTGAATCCCAAAATAAATGTGTGAAGTGATAAACACTAATTTAGCTAGTTGTGAAAGACATTTTATAGATAAAAGGATAAGTAGCGTATCATTTTTAAATGTGTGCATGCTTTTCTCCTTCGAGAAAACAACAGCTCAACAGCTGATTCAAAGGGGGTGTTGCGGATTGTTAAACACTTCCGCCTAGACACTGCGAGGATACTCTTGTTCATCCTCTGCCGAAGTAGGTTATCGAGGATGGGAACAGACTCCTTAGTTCGCATACAAACAAATGTACTCTCCTCGACCACTTCTTGGTTTCCGGGTCACGGAGGAGATAATGACGGAGAAGTCGAAGTCAAAATTTTGTTTTGTTATGTGTTCAATGCTGTTGGGAGAAGCGGCT